GGGTCAAGCCAAATATATGGTATAATGTACTCGGCAAAGCTCATATTGTTTTATTTGGATAGATGTTGATACCTGCAATTAAAACTCAATGACAGACTTTATGATACAGCGCGCGCACGCTAACCATTCAGCCATCCAACCCCCCGTTGTTAAGATGAACTTATGAACGTTAGTAGAAATAAACTAGGTCATTTCGGGACTAACACATGGTTCAATTTTATTTCAATAATTCGCTTGCGTGTAGGTGTCTTTGGCAGTGGGAGGAAATCGGAGGACCCGGAGAAAACCCACGAGGTTGGACATGCGACCCTACTCCTGGTCACGTACCACCGGGGAATCGAAATCACGCCAGTTGACTCAGTGACAGACCTTATGATACAGGGCGCTCGTGCTAACCATTCGGCCATCCAACCCCCAGAAATAAAGAGTGACATGGGGGTTTAACATCACACTACATACAAACTAGGTCATTTGGGGACTTAGAGATGACCTAATTTTATTTCCATAATTCGCTTGCTCGTAGAGATCTTTTGCAGTGGGAGGACCCGGAGAAAACCCATGGGGTTTCACAGATGACCCTATACTCCTTATAATTGTCATGTACAATCGTTGAATCGAAACCAAACCACTTGACTCAATAACAGATCTTATGATCTAATGCTCGTAACGTGTTAAGCCACAAGACTACCCAACCCAGTCCGCAAAATTTACACCTGAAAAAATTGGTTTGTGCTCTTGTCAAATGCATATCTCTTTGGGAGATAATATATTTTGCTAGTTTAATGATAGCTCCCATTATCTTAAAACTTGTGAATTTAAAAGGGAGCTTTAATTTCGCTTTACGAGAGATGAATCCCCATTCCATACCGGACATCCGAGTTTTAATCATCCTAACGGGGGATATGGGTACAACCAGTCTATTAAGTCAATTTCATGGTACACACACCTACACAATACCACACACATTGTTATGATATATATTTAATTGTATACAAAATACTTATTCCTACCTATTTTCACTTGTCCTTATCATCAAAGGTTTTTATTTTATCGGGGTGAGAAGGGAAGGGGGGTAAACACGATACTTGATAATCGAACGTGTTGTCCCCTCTTTCTAAACATCATAATTAAATGATTTCATGTTTTCTTCAACTAAACGATATTGATATATAATCCCTTTTCTCTCACCTGAGATTCTCTTTGATGTTCGCCGCCCCACAGGTGAATACGTAAAGTGAGCCCCTACTATCTTTCATCTGTCACATTTTATGTTGGATGTTTGACATTTGATATAAGATAATTTTCAACAAGATAATCTCGATTGATCTATGTTATAATATAACACGGGTTAACTTTGTTTCTTCTGATGATATCGTTAATACTCTTGAAATTCTCCTCCGCTCATCATTGGAGGTTAAAACTATTTATTTATAATAATATCTATCTGTGATTTTACATTCCACGGTCGTTAAATACCACGAGATTAAATTCATTCAGATTATTTCTTTGACCTTTATACAAAGCAAGTTACAAGAATCCTTTCTGTAAATAGGGCGGCGACCACATTTGTATTATATACTGAAATGAAATGAAATGGGATTTAACATCCTACTGTTCTGCACCTACCGGGATAATGAAGACTGGCATACGCCATGCAAAGTGCTACGAGGGAAATTTTGTATTCAGACTGTCATATGCACCACTGACACGAGGAGAACCACGCCGGAAAATCCCAAAGAACATTCATGGCCAACATGGGGAACTCGGGATCGCCAGGTTATCGAATCCGCTCCTTGCCCACGAAGACACCGCGAACCCACTTTTATTTTTCTATATAATTCTCTTGGTTGTAAATAACAAACGCAAGCCTTAAGCCTTAATGATTGAAGTGATATATGGATATATGGAATAAAACATTTATGTTAAAAAAAAAAAATCACTGCGATATTACTAATATGTCGCCTCTTTAATTGGTTATTCATTTTAAAAAAAAACCCCAAAAACCCAACAACAACAAACAAATAAACGTTTAAAAAGAAACGAATGATCTACTTATAATAGGCTATCTCTCCTCCCATATATGTCTGAATGCTGACAAGTTTAAGGGGTGCTTAAGACTACTTTACTTTTACAATGTTTCGGGAAGACAAGGGATTAAATCCTGCATTATCTCCCTTCTTAGCCAAGACAACGTTTCAGTCAAAATAGGCAAAGCCTTCAACCGTGCCAGTGTCATGTGTCAAACTGTCGCCGACAGACAGACACTAATTTCAGTGTAACCGTACTAATAATCCTAAGCGGTGGTCTAATTATCTGATTGGCAATATGAATAATGTTCCATTTTTACCCAACAAACAATAGTGTCCGTGTCAGAACTGTTAGAGGTAAGAGGTTGATTTTCAGCAGTGAGGTGTAGAGATAGTGTGACGACCGTAGAATCCATTTTTAAGCGGCGTTTACACGATACAATCAATCCATACAACCGTCGGATGCAACCGTCGCATCCGACCAAGTGGGTAAGACGCTGGCTCGCTAACCTGGAGGTCGGGTGTTCGATCCCTGCATTGGCCGAGAAAGTTCATCCAGATTTTCCGTCGAGGTTTCCCCTTGTCGTTCGGATGGAACGGAAAACCGAGGTCCCGTGTACAAATTGGCGTGCACGTAAACGATCCCTTGGCAGTTTGAATTCGATATAAGAGTAGGCCGTAGCGCCGATGCCCGGGCAAAATTTCCCTCATAGCACACTGTATGGCGTATGCCCGTCTTCATTAGCCCAGTTTAGGAGCAAAACAGTAGGACGTTAAACCCCATTTCATTTCATTTCCAGCTCAATAACACGTTTCTTTATTTATTTGACCACTGACAAATATTTTTACATCCCATGTAAGCGATCCCGATGTTGGCCAAGAAAGTCAATCGGGATTTTCCAGTCCGGTTTTCCCCTGTCATGGAAAAAAAGGTTTAGTCGTTGGAATGGGACGGAAATCGAGGCCTAACCGTGTATTTGTTGGCATTGGCGTGCATGTAAAAGAGCCCTTGATAGTTGGAACACGATCAAAAGTAGGCGGAAACGCGTCTCTGTTCGGGCAAATGTCACCTGTATAGTATCAGCTATGCTATCTCCTTTTTTATCCAAAGAGGTTTTCATATTAATAGCCTAAAATTTATAAAACCTCGAATCGCATTAAACATTCATGCATAAAATTGGAAAAATATAGCCGAATGACATACAGACAATTCATACCCGAATAAATGATCAATCTTATTTTTATCAACCCAGAAACTTCCATGTTGTTTTAAAATGAAAGTAAATAGTCTGTAGATCCGCTTTGGTTTTCCGGTAGCCAGATGCAAGACATGACTTGTTGATTTTGAGGCGGCTATGTAATAAAATGGAACTGAAATTTAGACTACATTGCAAGGTCTGTGTGCCTACGTGATTCTTAGATTTTTATCATTACGAATAATTCATCATTTCAGATTTATTAGACGATAATGTGACTATTGGCGGGAAAACAACCTGTCAAAAGTCAATCAAGTCCATTGTTAGAATGTTGGGAGAAAAATCATGGGACATAAATACGTCAATCACGTGCTTTTCTTCATCACTGCTCCATCATTATTTCTTCGCGGAACTGACAAGTGAGCATGCGTATTGTGGTATATATGGGTTTAAATATAGTTTATGTTGCCCTAGGCGACAGTAAAAACAGATAGGATAGTGTTGTTCATTATTTTAATCAGAAACTTCAAAGATTTATACCAAACACCGCTCTTCATTACCATTCAGTATTACTCCTCAATAACTGAGAGATTTACTTATTGGTTTTATTACTGGGCTCGGACTAATAAATCATTTATTCTGCGTGATTTGGTAATGCTTATACGAAATTACTGGATGTAAAATGATGAATTATTGAAAATGTTATGAACGCAATATTATTAAAGAAAGTAAATAATGTTGCTTAGTAACTCGGCAAATAAACGAGGCAGGACTATTATTGCCGAGATGGTTCATTCTTACGACCAGCTAACAAGTTTGGAAACGAAATGTTACAAAAAAAGAAATGAACAATGAACAATTTTTCAAACTGCCATCGATAACTTTAATCATAAAATGGGATATATTATGTGCGAAATATACCATGGAAATAGTCTGAATTTTGATTAGTTTTATCCTTGATTCCTTGTGTCCAAAATACCAATGTCACCTAGTTTGTCCTGTATCGCGTTCTTATAATTTCGTTTTTCCGAAAGCACCTCACCAAATTTTAAAATATTCAACCGAGAGCTTTAACAATAATAATTTTACCTAAAAGATTAATTAAAATATTGTATTTTGGATTTCGAAAGGGTTCCTCCGTATGCCACAACGATCTATTTAAGCATATTTTTTTTTTAAATTCCACTGATGACTTTGTTCTGTATGCTTTGTCCTTTATCGTATTAGGGGGTTGGGTGGGTGAATGGTATAATGCATGCGCTTTAGATCATAAGGTTTGCTTTTGAGTCAAGAAGCATGGTTTCAATTCCCCCGCCTGTACGTAACGATGAGTAGGGTCGTCTGTCCAACCTCTTGGGGTTTCTCCGGGTCCTCCCGCTGCTAAAGATCCCTACGCGCAATCGATTAATTGAAATAAAATTGAACCATATTATGTTAGTCCCAAAATGACATATTTTACGTTCAATGGACGTTTAAGTCCCACGTCCCCCTATCCTATCGTATAGTTGCGTTAAAGGGTGATAACTCCAAAAAATGCAATACTGAAATGACCAATTTATGACCAATCCCAACAAAAAATGCTGGTAGTCCGTGGAGTATTCATGGGATATTGTGCCATGGATCGACAGCGTGACGACAACATACGACCACATAATAAAGTAAGCGTAAAACAAACAATCGCTCTAATTCAAAGGGACTCTAGTGATAAAGATTAGGACCCATATTATTTATTTTAATATTTATTATTAAACAAATATTTCCACGATCAGCACAGATTTCCATTCAATCATCGTCATCATCGTCGTCATCATCGTCATCGTTAGTCTTTTTTGATTTCTTTCTTTTCTTTACTTTCTTTACGTTCTTTCCTTTCTTTCCCTTTTTTCCCTTCTTTCCTTTCTTTTCACCTTCCTGGAAAAAATGAATAAAGTAACTGTCTCATCGATATTCATAAATGGCCTTATTTGCATATTATACCACCTTGATTATATGCCGAAAACTGCATGGTACTCAAAAATGTGAGAAAGGCGGGCATTTTAAATCGTTAAATTATATGAAATAAATATTTTATTCAAATAAAGTAGGGCACCTTGTATTTAAAGGAGCTAAATCGCTAATATTTGGGACCTAGAAATTGACACAAATGGGTCGTAACGCATCTAATAATGTAATATGAATGTATATAAACTGATTTACATTCAATCGTTTCCGTTTTCACTGAAATTTCAAATCGGTTATTTTCGGCGAAATACGCCAGAAGTCTCAATCGAATGGCAATATCTAGTGTATGTGTATTCCAGACTACACCGGTAGTATTTAGTGCTCGTGCTCTCCAGATAGGAATATGGCGTCTCTGTTTGACATGACTTGTGGAAGATGTCTAGCCTCGTTCTTCGAGTCCTTTGTTGCAAATGGCGCTGAAACGCATTCTGGTACACGATTCGTATTGTCGTTATGCTTCGTTGTGCAGCCCGCATGGTCAACTCGCATAAATATGAGAAACTCATATAATTTTTAAAAATAAACCAATATGTTATTGTGAAATATCGAATCCATCAAACACACACACAGATATTAATCATGATTTAATTATTCTGCTATCTACTGAAGAAATAAAATAAAATTAAATTGTGTTTAACGTCCTATTTTACGGCACCGACTGGGCTAATGAAGAACTCGAAACTATCCTACACGACTGGCAGCAAACACAGAAAAATCTCGAGGAACGTTCGCGGCCAACCCGGGACTTTTTGGTTAGTGAGTCAACTTCTTACGTACTCACTGGGCCACCGCGGCTCCCTAGAGATGTAAGAGGTCTTTATCCCCCATCCCTTCTACTCCACTAACCCCTGGGTCCATTCAGGGTATTTTCACGAATTCAAATTATTTGTCCTTGATAATTTTATTGCACGTAGGTTGATTCTATGAACCAATCAAAAATAGTTTACATACCATTCTTAGCGCCATCGTTTACTTTCATCTCAAAACAACAATCTGTAAGCTCGATTTATTTGCAATAAAATGCTAGTTTAAGTTACTTCCCTTCCAATTTTTTGATTAGTCGATAAAAATAGCACAATCAAAGGTGGATAATTTGACAGTTTACATACATACAGCAATCTGTACACTCGATTTTGTTGCCATAAAATGGTAGCTACTTCCCTTCGAATGTTTTGATTGGTCGATAAAAATAGCACAATTATCAAGGGCGGATAATTTGACGATGTCTCTGTCCCGTTAATGGACTCAGGGGCTAGTGGAATAGAACAGATCAGAAAGAAGGCCATCTTGTTTACTTATGTGTGGTGTATCATACAATATTTATATTAATGTTTATATTAATTTAGCTTTGTTTCGATTATGTCTCTCTAGTCTTTACCACGCATTGCGGTATATGTACCGGAGCTAGAGATGCTTAGTCAAACGTCCTTCTTAAAACCGTAAAATTATTCAGTAGAATTGTGAACTGTGTAATAGTCGGCTAGTAGCAGGACAAATATGAAAGAAAGCCAAAAATTATGAAATCAATTTTATATCAAGTTTCATCGAGCCACACCCGTGTATCTAAAATAATTTACCATTTTTCGAAAGGTTAGATATTTAAACGAAAATTTAGCACCAATTGACTGACGCATAGGCGGATCCAACCAAAGGGGATGGGGCGCGAGGCCCCCCCCCCCCTCCCATTTTCGACAATGCCCTTTTTTACTGCTGAAAGTGCCTTTTCTCAGACCCGAATATGTCCGTTCCCAACCCGTTGCAGGGATCCCAAATGACTCAAACCATCGACTCAAACACACCAGTCTGGTCTAATTAATGTTTCCACTTTCAAACCAATTCTTGTTGTTTAGCTGACGGTGCCCTAATCCTATAGAGTGACTATAGACAGACATCAATGATAGCATCTTGTGGAATCGGCGGCGTATGCACTCATGCCCATCACTGACGCGCATGAGTGCAACTTGATATAACATTGTTTCATGTGTGGACAGTACACAGTACAAGTTACTAGCCAAGTAAAGTGGCCAGGGAATAGATTCGTCTTTTTTCCCATAGGCGTAGGAGCCGGGGGGGGGGGGGGGCAGGGGGGGATGCCCCCCCCCCCCCCAAAAAAAAAAAAAAAAAATTATTTTCGGGCAATGAAAAATTCGACGACCTTTTTTTTCTATTAACGTTTAGAGAAAAAAATATAACTAACTTATTTCTATGAGATCCACACTGCCCGAAAAGTATTTTCTCGTCTTTTTCTTGTCCACTGCATGCCCGAAAATATGCCCGAAGCTCTCTTATGATACGTATGCCCGAAAAAACGGTATTGATTTCGGGCAATTTTCTCTTATGCCCCCCTGAATTACTTTGAGCTCCTACGCCTATGTTTTTCCCATCATGTACCAACTTTATATATTCCGTATTTAAGGACTGAAATATACCATTTTAACAATAACTCGCTCGCCTTGACAATTTTCGAGTCGCAATGTTCAACTTGCTTTTTTGCTCGATTTTAAGGCTCTTTTTCAACGATTTCCGAACGTTTACTTACTAACTTAGACGAAAATATCAGCCAAATAGCTCTTGAAATGGCGTGCCCCGTCTCCGCGGTCAGTGCCCTTAATTTGCGGCACCCCCCCCCCCCCTTTCAAAATTCCTAGATCCGCCCCTGTGATGGACATTGGTTTGTGTAAACTAATTCATATCTTAGTCCGTAGTGTGAGATAAAAGTAATTTTCTTTCCTACTTTACTTACTTCTTGCATCTTTTTAAATTTCCTGAAAAACAGAGAAAACGATTATGTCACTCGAGGGGCTAAATCTATTTCTTAAGGACAGCTCAATTTTCATCGTGGTCGCTGGGATGTAAATAATGTTAGGGCACGTGATTGTTGGCGAGATTGTAGGTTAGGGTTAGTGTAAGCATTTGGAGCTAGATCCAGGGCTGGGATTAGAGCTAGCTCTGTTTACATCTCGTGACCTTTGACCAAACTTGAAGTTGGCTTTATCAAATAGATCTAATCCACTAACAGGTTCAAAAGAAGTCGACGCAATCATTATAGCTCATATTGTCCCTTCTTGGCCAAATAGCGTCTAATTGTGTTACAGTTTCAAGGTCATACGGAGATTTTTGTAGACTTGCGATTGGTTGAGGGGGGACGGGTCCTTAAACATACATTAAATCTGGCAACAGCAGGTCTTTTTTTAGATCTGAAATGTTATCTAAATTCTTAATTAGACATTAATTAACTTATCCAGACCATAATCAACTCTCGATGGCATCGCTAACCTGCGATATTTACTGGATTAGAACCCGGTCTGCTGCTTCTGATTAAATCAAAAAATGGATAATCGAGACTATGTTTTTTATCGTACCGACTTAAGTAATGATGATCGAGGCTAGGCCCAAAATACAATCGCTAAATACTCCGTTCACGGTGGATCAATCTGACTGAAATTTTCAGAAAATTCCCTTTACATTATCTAGTTTTTAACTATTATAGTATAGTGGGAACTACCAGCTCTTTATATCTAATCTCTCATAATGTATCTTTAAGCCAGCGGGTTGGGGTTAAAGAATGCAGAATTCATTCTCAATTGACGATTTTCCCAAGTAATTGCGCAAACTGTATATTATGTGAACAAATAGTTATGCGCAATGTCATGAACATTTTATTTTGGCCTGACCTATAATCCCCGCAGGTGATGAGGAGCAAAACTGAGTTGTACTGTAGTAAAAGAGACTACAAAAATAATAAATATTTGAATCAAGTTGAAAAGAAAGAAAGTAATGAATATATAGATTATGTCGTCCAAGTATTGTACAAACAATGACATTATTTAACAGATGGTCGTTCTTGCTATACTAGTTTAAAAATAGATAATGAGAAATGAATATATTGAAAATTCAGTCAGATTACTTTATTCTGAGCGAAGTTGTGAATGTTGGTATTATTGACAAGATCTAACGTATAAGCTTATTGCTGATTATCGTAGACAATCGAGTCTAAATAAATAGATTATCGATTATCAAGTACCATTGTAACGACAATAAACAAATTATCGATCATCTACATGTATTTTAACTTTAAATTATTAAATGGCGCGAGTGTTCTAATCCATTCAATATCTGGTCGATCCGATGGGCTTGTCGTGTGAATACAAATCTAAATAACATTTTATTTAATATTCATTGAATCCAGTAAAAAAGACCTGCAGCCAATAGGAAGATTTAGCTTTTGCGCGATGCATCTTTTAAAGGACAATATTGGTGTCAGTCGTTATCACATGTGTTAAAGGTTAAATACATTCCAAATATAATTTTAACACAGAGAACCATTTAAAAATCAAATAATAATATTGGTAATACAATAGGGGGCAAATAAATTCGTAGTCATAGATTGTATTTTTCATTTAAAGGACAATATTGGTGTCCGCCATTATCACATAATATGTAATAAAACTGATTAAACACGTTCCAGATATCATTGCAACGATAGATGTGTAACTGTAACCAAGATTTGATATCTGAAATAGTCTTCACGCAGCAGAAACGCTTGTATTTTTATAAACGCGTCCTGGACTAAGGGGAGCAACTCTCTTTAAGAAGCGAGGAAAAACAAATACTATAGTAACCGTTACTCAGTTCGACCTGGATAGAAATGAAATGAAATGAAATGGGGTTTAACGTCCTACTGTTCTGCTCCTAAACTGGGCTAATGAAGAAGAGCATATGCCATACAGTGTGCTATGAGGGAAATTTTGCCCGGGCAGCGGCGCTACGGCCTACTGATATATCGAATTCCAACTGCCAAGGGATCTTTTACGTGCACGCCAATGTGTACACGGGACCTCGGTTTTTCGTCCCATCCGAGCGACTAGACAGCTGTCTTTGTCAGGCCCACCGTTCTGCATCACTGACAAGGGGAAACCACGCCGGAAAATCTGGATGAACTTTCTCGGCCAATGCAGGGATAGAACACCCGACCTCCAGGCTAGCGAGCCAGTGTCTTACCCACTTAGCCAACGTGATCCCCCAGCCTGGGTAGAAATATTAAAGTATTTGTAAAGGAGAATAACTTACACGACAGCAGCAAGTATGCCAACTATTGCGACAGGTACACCTATACCACCTAAGACAAGCCCCAAGATATTATCACCTCCTTCATTACTTTTATCAACTTTTGGTGTTGATTTATCTGTAAAAAAAACAAAACCGGTCACAATTATTGATACCGCAATAAATGTCATTTTTATATAAAACTAGAGTTGGACATCAACAAAACTGTCCATGATTAATTTTAGCAATCGCATGATCGAAGTTAATCAGAAAATCATTATATAATCATTTAGCCACAAAATGACAAAACTCTGTTAAAATAATTTATCAATAACTACTAGATTTTAAAGACAAGGGCGATAATTCTGTAAATACTGTTATGTTTTGAACCTACCGTTTTTAATTGTTGCGTCTGTTTTTTTTACTGCTACTTTGTTAATTACTCTATTTTTTCGTGTAGGTTTTTTGGTGTTAATTACTTTTTGTTTTGGTGTAGGTTTTTTGATGTTAATTATTTTTTTGGTGTTAATTACTTTTTTCTTTGGTGTAGGTTTTTTGGTGTTAATTACTTTTTTCTTTGGTGTAGGTCTCTTTTTGGGGGGTTTTCTGCGGGAAATTTCCACATGCACCTTTTTCTTTCTTTTGGTGGTCTTTCGTGGATTATGATTGCTCTGTTGTTTCCTGTTATTGGTCTTGGAGGGCGCAGGTCCTTCAAAGTACTTATATCCATTCTTGCCTTCAAATTAAAGGATTTAAACACTTAATACATACATCAACCAATGTTATTTTGATAGGTCTTTCATTCTATACTGAGAGCCGCGATGGTTCAGTAACCAAGGCACTGACTTACAAACCAATTCTCGGGTTTGCTCCTTGTGGGTCGCTAAACTTTCTCGAGATGCTCCAGTGTTGTTTCCCGCAGTCAGTATGGGGCTTGGCAAGAAAGAGCGTCTAACCGTTCGGATGGGACGGAAAAAACCCGTGTTCACATTGGCGTGCACTTAAAACAAACCTTGATAGCTGGAAAAGTTGTCTTATAGCACACTACCGTCCTCATTAGTCTGGTTCGTTTATTACGGTGATTCGCGATGGTCATGGTATGGAGGAGTATAGATCAGCTTCAGGTCAACACTAAGGATTGTAATGTATACACTAGTTTCTCTCGATCTACAGTTCTTCAGTTCCCAGTACCAGACTACCACCATGCTCGAAGTAAATGTACAATCGCTCTGGATTGACAGTGTAAACCATTGAAATAGATATCAGTAGATATTTTTATGTGTAAAAGAACAAGTTCAGTAGGCCTACTCACCTGGTGGTTTAGGTCTGGACCACTTAGGTATCGCGATGTTTTTCACGTCTCCATTTCTGAACGACCCACTACTGGCTGGCAAATAAAGAAAACATAGCCTCGTCATATTAAAGCACGGAGCTTTGTCAGATATGAAAAAAAAAAACACCCACCAGCAATATAGTGAAAGGGGGATACGGGATGTCGCTCAAAAAAGCAGTAACACCATCTCAAGAACTTTGATATTTGGATGATGTAAAAGAATTAATTGACTTGAACAATGAATCCACATCAAGTGCGATACGCTATAGGGATCCGCCATAATATATAATATCACAAGAAAAATAGAGAGGGAGAAAGAAATGGGGTTTAACTTCCACTCGACACAAACTATGTTATTTCGGGACTAACACATAGTTCAATTTTATTTCAATAATTCGCTTGCGCGTAGGTGTCTTTAGCAGTGGGAGGAAACCAGAGGACGTAAAATCGGGGAATCGAAACCACGCCAGATGATTCAATGACAGACCTTGTGATACAGCCTGCGTGTGCTAACCATTCTGCCATCCAAACCCCCACAAGCAAAATAAACCCAGCCAGTTTGTTTTGTACATTTCATACCCAAAGGTTTCGCTTACAACTCTGTGTAAAACTGACGGGCAAGTCGATCTTCGATAGGATTTCGCTTTATGATTAGTAATCCCTGTTTTCAAGTTATTGCAAATTCATTGCTTGCGTCTGAATTTTGATAGGTTTTTTTTTCTTACATACAATTCAACTCCAAATAAAAACTCCATTCTCTGAGGTTTTAATGAGGTTTCGGTGGCAGCGGCAATTACCTAGTGTAAAATAGATATAGGAATCTGAATTTCGATACCATTTCTCTATATGACTTTACACACATTTCGAAAAAAAAATCTCCAAATCTTTGATCGATGTATTGTTTTCAAAAAATGTGCACGATTACGAATGGAAGAAAGACACACGGACATGATTTTACTACAATACTCGTGATCTTAATCTTTAAACAAGATCAACAAGTTCCTCGTCCAAAATTTACGGGAGAGATATAATTTTTTGTCTTTGACAATTTACGATTAAAGATACATTATGTAAGATTAGTTAGATAAAGAGTGGACAATTCTCGCTATAATAGTTAAAATATTGGGAATTTGAAAATTTCAGCCCAATTACAATAACAGTGTAGCCCCGATTATCATTGCTGCAGTTGTTGCAATAATAAACAATGTCTTGATTATCCATTTTTACGTTAAATCATTAACCGCTAATCGTATTTAAATCTGTTGAAAATCTAGAGTATCCGATGACATCGAGAATTGATTATGGTAATCTAATCAATAATTTATATAACACATAAGGCATAAAGAAAGACCTAAAACAAAACAGGCAGATTTAGCTCTTTAATAATGCCTCTTTTATGAACGGGAACATATTTATGTGAGAAGAGGTCATTTACGTGTTTTATAGAGGATGAAATTTTGGTTGTCGACTCCGCCACACTTCATAGAAGCATCCCCTTTACATGGTACTTTACAGGAACTTTCACCGATTCTTGCGAGATGTTTGTTTGATATAGTACATGAACACCTGGCACCACCCTATATAAAACACACGGTATAGAATTGGATTCTGATAACAATACTGACATTGAGGAATATTGACTTAGATTAGAAAAAGTACAATTGAATTGAAAATTAGTCTTTCAAATTGAACAATGTTATTTTATCCATGACTGTAACTTAATTTTTATGGGTAACAATCACCAGGGTCGAATGCGGTCTATTTAGACTTCACAAGAAGTTATATCCCTGGTTAATAGATTAAAGATACATTATGGGAGATTAGATAAAGAGCTGGCAGTTCTCACTATAATAGTTAAAAACTAGATAGTGTAAAGAGAATTTGCTGAAAATATCAGTCAAATTGATCCACTTTGAACCGAGAATTTAGCGATTGAATTTTCTGCCTAGCCTCGATCATCATTACTAAAGTCAGTACGATAAAAAAAACATAGTCTCGATTATCCATTTCATGATTAAATCATGAATGGAAGTTGAGCAGCAAATCAGATCCTAAACCAGTAAATATTGCAGGCTAGCGATGACATCGAGAGTTGATTATGGTCTGGATAAGTTAATTAATGTGTAATTAATAACTTAGATAACATTTCAGGCCTAAAGAAAGACCTGAAATAGGCAGATTTAACTCTTGCATAATGTATGTTTAAACGGGGACTCGCAGACGTGTACATTGAACCTAATATGTAACTTGTTTAGCTTATTGTTACTGAATCAGACACTGGTAGAATCAACTTACAGAAAGTGAAGCAAAATTAAACTTATTATCCTGGCAATGAGCGAGACAAACATCTGTTGTCATTCGGGCGAAATTCAATTGTGATTCTTTTTGAGGTCGTGTAATTTTCTCATAACAGCCTTGATACACTATAAATATAAAAGAAGTTATAAATATTGAAAGTATTGCAAAATATGATTGATAATACAATAATCATTTGATAAAAAATAATGACCTATCTGTCTGTATTGTTTTTATATAAAGCTTTCTTTTTAATTCACCACTACCATTAAATCTTGAATTGGATTTGTGTTTCCTTATTTAATCTCAAATTAACAATAAGCACACTTATTCTTTGGCACCTAGAAGGGGACGCAAATGGGTAGCAACGCATTAATAAAATTAGCATGAAGTGTATTACGAATGCATTTAAACTGATTTACGTTCAATCGTCTTTGCTTTCACTGCAATTTCTAATCAGTTGAGTTCGGGGAAATACGCCAAGAGCCCAAATTGAATGACAGTCTTTGGCGTCTGGTTATTCCAGACTACACCGGTAGTATTCTCCTGTGGGGTATGTTAGCCTCGTTCATCTAGTCGCTTCATTACACATGGCGCTTGAAAGCAAATGGACCAATAAGTTGTGTTCGCAAAAGTCTAAGACTATGGATGATATTGAGCTAGCGACTTGCCTCCTTTAAATTAAAATTAATGGTAAAAAAAACAAAAAACAAAACAAAACAAAAAAAAAAACAAAAAAAAGATTACTATAAGTATAACAAATACTATTGTCAACATTAAAACTTACATTTTTTAACACGATCAGCTGAATATTTCGATCGAAACCTTGGTTCTTTTACATAACCTTTTCAAAAACAACCGTACAATGTTAAAATGGATTAACTTTATCATTAATATAAATTTATAGACTGTAATTCGTTCAATCAAAATGCGTAACTGTCATCCAAATGGACTAGTGCTTGCTTTTCCATGAGACTGGTGTCATGGGGTTTTCTTTTCAATTTAGGGGAGCGTGTGTCGTTGTCTTTTATTCCTTGCAAACGCTGTGGTATAGTTTTGACTCAACATACCAAGACAGGAACGATAATACTAATAGGTTTCTTAATCTATGTGATTTGAAAAAGTTGTAGCTATTTCTCAGAAGTAAATAAAAGTCATTAGTAAAAATAATAGTTATACTTATAACTAATGCTTGGATTTGTGTATGTTTATTATGTTTATCCTCGTCTACCAGATTTGGTATTCTATTCTAATTACATAATTTACATTATAATAGGCCATCGCGGTACGCCTAATTAAGGGGGAATACCCGGTCTGACACGGTTTCGTGATGATTACTTACCCGTCTTGTACATGGCATATTTATTTTTTCCACCACAGTTTTGTCTTTGGTCCCCAACACACGGTATCTGACAACCAGACATAGCTGTGTAGGTTGCACGTTGTAAATTCTCCACACATTTACACTGATTACCTTCCTTGATTAATGCTACTCTAAGCCTGATTTTCCAGCAATATTCTACACATTCTTCAGCCGTATCTTTTGTTACTATAGATGTCCCTTCGTTTGTTTTATAACAGAGCACAAATATACGAGATGCTGTAAAGAAGATGTAACCAAATTAGTATTATTTGAATTTTATTAAAAAAAACTGAACATACATTGGTGATTCATGGTTTGTCTACTGTCGATTCCACTGAGTTTAGTGACCAGGCAGCTACTGCACATCCGAAACCTAGGCTGCCTGTCTACAGCTAGCTCCGCCTGAGAACAGCCCCGAAGCTAATTACCCGACATTTTAATTCCTACATCGACGATTTTAGTTGAAAACACTGAGTATGCTTAAGTATTTATTTCTCTTCTATTGTCATATTGAATGAAATTAAATATGTTTATTTAGCCGCTGTGTGTATGAAAGATGTCAAACTAATCAAAGCCGAATCACAAAATAGTCCTCTAAGGCGGCTCCCATAAAAGGTAATTTCACAGAGGCGGTTTTGTTTGCGAAGACAAATTTAGGAGTATCTAACCTTCTTTTGAAAGATAAACAGATTGAAACTCTAAAGACAGTTTACAATGGCAAAGAATGTATTGCAATATTACCTACTAGCACATATTATATGTCGCTTTTACAGGATTGGCAGAAGTTGACATTTTGCTAAAGACATGTGTTTACATAAAACACGTGCTTGATCGGGTTATTTTTACTTTGTTGTGTACACAAGGCTGTAGTCCAGTCGATAAGTCCCGCCCCAAAATGATCACGTGAGCGTTTTAAATGGCGGCTAACTAGGGCAGTGATCATAATGACGTATGAAGTTGATGGATCGCTGCGTGCAGTTTGGCTACTGCAGTGGTACAGCACACAGTCAATAACTTATATAAGTGACTCCATATAAATAATTTGACTTCTTGATTAACCTACAATTTCTTCACTAATATTTTTAATGTATAAGGATTAAAGTAAGTATTGTAACCAAAATTGACATTTCGATAGATGAAAAAACAAGACATATCAACAACAGATGCCCAAACTAGTAATTACAAGTAGTATAGTAAGAAAGAAGTATTAAGTCTGAATATTGCTGGTTAACAACACTGGTTAATGTAGCACTATGCAATTCGGCAACCAAATGAAACATGTTGTGATATGCAGTGCTATGAGTCGCTGGCTAGATGTGGAAAGTGCTTACCCAAAACTCCCCACATCCAACGTGTGACGCAGACTCTCCCCTCTGCTACATATTTTTTTAGCCTTTTGATCGTATAGTATTGTCTCTGGTTATATTTGTTATTCTCTTCGTTTGGCTAGGAAGTTTCTTTAAATGTTGTCACTCTGACATACCACGCTGAAAATTTATTCTCATTTTATTCACCTTATGGTTACCACAGAAATAACTACTGTATACCACAGTTCGTTTCTACATTTTATGTCAAGCACTGGATACATAGGTTACAAGCATAGATTAAAATAAAGTCATTTGTCTGGTGTCTGAAATATTTCCGAATAGATCTAGCGTTTTATATGCCTTGACTTCCGAATTAAATTATGTGATAGGCCACTCATGCTCAATTACGTCACGAATTAGCCAAATATGGAATGGACATGCCTTATACCTTGCATACCAACAGGTGGCATATGATTGACAAAAGTGTTTATCAACCTAATTCATGTATCATATTTATTATCACAGATTTCCGTTGTTTCACGTGCTGTTTTGCTTGTCTATGAATCTGTAAACAATAATTAGTCAAGGCCATAATATTATTATACATGTGTTATTTTTGCACAAATCTCACGATCCATTTATCCCCATGCACGACAAACTCAGAATCAACTCTAGGCCTATAAGTCATCGGATGGCCTTGATATTAAATGGATTACAACACCTTCGCCATTTTATAATTTAACGGTAAAATGGATAATTGAAACTGTGTTTATTATCGTAGCAACGCCTTTCTCTCTGGGACGTTGGATGGCCGAATGGATAGCACGTGCGCGCTGTATCATAAGGTCTGTTATTGAGTCAACTTGCGTAGTTTCGATTCCCCGGCGGGTTGTTGTACGCGACAAGGTGTAGGCCTAGGGTCGCCTGTCCAACCTCGTGCCGTCGTGGGTTTTCTCTTGGTGCTCCGGTTTCCTCCCACTGCTAAGACCCCTACGCGCAAGTGGACGTTAAATCCCATCTCTCTCTATCTCTCCCCTCTCTCTCTCTCTCTCTCTCTCGCCTTTCTGAACTTTCTCATTGACTTGAGCCAGCGCGGTCCCAACAGATACGTAGCCTACCTCGCTTTGTTCTGTGCTTTTCTTCTCCAAAATACGCCTTTGTTTCATTTAGAAAATACCCAGTGCTGTTTGTTTTGGCTATTTTGTCACTTGCAAGACAAACTGTTTTCAGTATTGCCAAAGAAATTAACCAAAACAAGAGCAAAAATCGGTCTCGTTCCACTTTCATTCTTTTTGGTCCACCATTTTGAAAGTCACTATGGTATATCGTGACGTCACAGTCAACATGACGTAATTCTACTATGACGTGATTAAAATGGTACTGATAGTGTTAAAGTATGACTTTTTTTACATGGCAAATTAATAATTATTATAAAGATACATTATGAAAGATTAGATAAAGAGCTGGCAGTTCTCACCATAATAGTTAAAAACTATATAATGTAAAGGAAATTTGCTGAAAATTTCAGTCAAATTGATCCACTCTGAACCGAGAATTTAACGATTGAATTTTCGGCCTAGCCTCGATCATCATTACTAAAGTACTATAGCCTCGATTATCCATATCATGAATGGAAGTCGAACAGCAAATCGGAACCTAATCCAATAAACATCGCAGACTAGCGATGACATCGAGAGTTGATTATGGTCTGGATAAGTTAATTAATATCTTATTAATAATTTAGATAACATTTCAGGCCTAAAGAAAGACTTGCAATAGGCAGATTTAGCTCTTACATAATGTATGTTAATAATGATGTTTGTTTAGTCACGATAACGCGAAACTCTCTCAAAACAATACTAACTGAAGCAATAAATCTTTTAATTTATTAATAGAAATAGGAATGATTCATTCAAAATGATAATCCAAATCTATGTTTTCAACAGATAAAACAAAGTAAATAACTGTAACTAAAACTACTTATTTCATACTATTTAAAAGTACAAGTTTTGTAGCAACCTAGATGCACATAGTAGACCTATGGTATTTCTACTCTATCCCCCTCTGTCCATTAATACTATGAAATTAATACTTTGCCAGGTTGTGTACGTGGGCCCTTTGTGTTCGTGGACTAGGAAATAGCTAGATAAGAAACATTATCTCTCAACCCTCCGTGTTTCGAGATAAGAGATGGTACTGTACAGTTTTACCTGGCAAAACTCCGATGGGAATCAGACCGGGCTTTAAGAAGCAAAACTGTCATTTTTTTCTTCAAAACAACGATTGACACGGGTTCAAACCATCTCTTTTAAATCGAAGCGATAATTGCTGGCTTTCCCAGACAATTTAAATTGACGTCTCGTCACGCCAAGAAGGCGGGGCTGAAGATATGTCATGTAACAACAGCCAATCAAAATACGCGAAAAGTAGGAAATGGGCATGCACTGACGGACCTAATTAGATTAGAATATTTTGCAGGAGTGTTTGTAGAGCTCATGGAAACCACACGAAAGAGTGTAAATTGAAACTAAAACTAGCTAGGAAATGGCACTTAAACACTATTTATTTAACTGGTAGTTGTTGTTCTTCTTAGAGACGACCCTCCTCGAAGCCCAAGGCCTATTCCAGTAGGCATATTATGATGAAATGGAACTTGACATACTTGTTCCTTGGAAATCTGCCCATAGATTGACTGTTGCGATGACGCCATGTACTCGGTTCCTGATCCCTAGTACGCGCATACCAGTGTCCGTGATAAAATCATAAATTCTTGTTTTTGAATAGATTTATTTTCCATATTAAAATCATGGTAACATAATTACAACAGATTGATAAAATTCTTCTATCCCGCATTTAATACAATAACATGACCATTTTGATAGGTGAAGTAAGTATTTCAATAATTTCAAATGGTTTCTATTGTTTCTAGGATCATATTCCTTTTGAAACTGAAGAAGTTCTCTGACTGTTCCGGTCCGCCCTTGTTAAGCTGCGATATTAAAATAGGACTCTACAATCACCTCCATGTGTTCTAAAGCTGTTTTTGAGTCCGTACCCTCTATTTTTCACCGTAATTCTTATTTGTTCGCCAAAAGGAATCATTAACCCTAGGACAGAGGTTGGGATCCAGCTGTATTTTCATACTGCAGCTTAGTAAGGACTGGCAGGGACGGTCAGAGGACTTCGTCCATTCAAAGGTAGTTCCGAAAGGAATTAATTACATACAATACAAAAATTAATCAATCTTCAAATTTCTTGTTCCCGAAAACATGTTCAAGTTAAATTGTATGTAACATTTGAGATATACTGGCCATCGCTAATAATATACTGAGATTTTTAGTTTTAATTAGCTGTACAAACACTCTATTCTACTCTAATTAATAAAATCGATTTAAAGTGGAAGTCAAGATTTATAAAGCAGTGGCTTAGTATGGTAATCAATCAAGTTGCGATAGATTTAGAAAGCATCTCAATCATTAGATTTTAAGAGGTTAAAGATTTTGGGAATGGGGATCTGAAGAATTGACTGCTATTCTTCTTGTTCAAGCCTAATTCCCACTGACATTAAATTTGTCTAGGAGTAAATCCCGCTAGACCCACAAAATTCTGATCCTTCACACCAATACAGTATTGATACATCCAACTAAAGTCTAAAATGTCTTTAGATCCTGTCGTATATCATTTCAACCGGCATTAAATTAGTCTATGAGTGAATCCTGCTAGACCTCCCAAACTTCGGATCCTTCACACACATACAGTATTGCTACATCCAACTAAAATCTCTTTCGATCCTGTCGTGTGTCGTTTCAACACAATCAACGAAATACATGTTGACTGACATTCAAATTTCTTATTCAATTGATACCAGTAACCAGTAGGAATTACGTTTTACTGCTTTTAATACCATTCTTTCTCGCCGATTCTCATGTATCATCAAAAACTATTTCAAACTACAATAAATTTTTCTATATAATCTCTACAGACAAATTAATCACTACTTAGCTTGTATGATTTCACGATGGCAGCTACTGGAGATACCAAGGCCATGGATATATCATGGCAATGAATGGACATACCATGTTAGCTGATAGAGATACCAGGGCAGCTATTGAAGATACCATGGTAGCTATGAGAGATATCATTACAGCTATTGCAGATACCATGGCAGATAATGGGGATACCATGGCAGCTAAGAGCGTTATCTGGAGAAGAGTACTAAAACATCCTATTCTTGCTAAAGCTTGTTGCATTTTTAATACTGAGGTAATTGGATAATAAATGCAGGTGGTAGAAAGTTCAGAGGAAATGTTGATCGCAATATAAGGCCGCATGAAAATGCGGGTTTAAAATAACTACAAATTATTTAAACTTCAACCATCAAGTATTAAATTGGACACATTAGATCTTGGCTACATGCTGTACACCACTAACATAACCCATACTAATATACACCAGAACAAAGGCTTAGCATTAGGTTTTTGGAAAAATTTGAATAGGTTCTGATTGAGATTTCAAAAATCAGGTTATCTATAGATATAGAAGAATCAGGTTTGGCCTAGCTAGTTATAATCTATCTACTAACATAAAAAGTAAAAGAAACTCTCAAATAATATGTATAATAAATAGGCATTAGAGTTTTGGAGATCTTTGTCCTTTATAAAGAAACAAAAATTCGACTTAACCCAACTACACATGTAACTTCCGAGTCGCAAGCAGCGTTGTGGACTGCCCAGCCTCGTCAGTTTTCTGAATCTCCCACTGATGAAAACCCTTACATGTAAGTAAATTATTAAATAAAGATGTGCGATATTTCAGTACCAAAATAACCTGGTTTGTGTTGAATGGACCTTAAATCCAATTTGTTTTTTGTTCTATAAGAGCTGGCAAACTAACCAGCCTGGTTTCCCCCTTTATGGTGGTGCAGTACAGAGTTTGGATGGGATCAGATACAAAAAATTAGTGTGCATGTAAAAGAACAGTTGGAGAACAGGAGACACAGACGTCTGTAATGTGGAAAACCTTTTTCAATATTAAGCTGTGATTAATAATCATTTTAAGACAAGTTAGTTCCCTCTGAATCGGAGTCAGACCAGTTAATTTATGATCTTACTCGCTTAGTGGGTATAATATGGAAAGATTTTCCACCTACATGGTTAATTAAACCCCATTTCATTCCTCTTTTCCTCTGATAATTATATGTACATGTAGGAGGGCCAAAGGTTATTTTGAATATGATATTATTCAAAATCAATTACATTTATTTCCTTCTTAAGAGGGATAATGCCTTTTTAAATTATGAACATATTTGAGATTTAATTTTGCAGTTAATTTAGCAACAAAATAATGATAATTTGTTTGAAATGTTAATAATATATTTTATTATTCTAATCTTAATTTGTGGAAACATTTTACATAAACCTTTATAATCTAAATCATACAAATGCTGTAAGAATACTGTAGTCAGAAAACAAACTGGGTTAATTTGAGCATGTGAATATGATTATAGATATTAAAGGAGCTAAATCACTAGTATTTGGGACTTAGAAATTCACACAAATGGGCTGCAATGCATATAATAATGTAACATGAATGTGTATATAAAATCTTTTCTGTTTTTTTTAACTCTAATTTCAAATCAGTTATGTTCTAGCGTCTGGTTATTCCGGTCTACACCGACAGTAGTTATTGAGAATGCTCTCCAGATAAGAACATGGTGTCAATGTTTGACATGATTTGTGGAATATCTCAAGCCTCGTTCTTCGAGTCCCTTGTTACAAATAGCACCGAAACGCATTATGGTACACAATTCGTGTACACCAATGTGTACCAATTGTAAAATGTTTATTTTGTCTTAATTGAATATCAGAACCTCATCTTTTCCCCGGTAAGATCACAACATCAATGTTGATTTAAATTGACAAATAATTTGTGTTTTCAATGTCGAAGACTTTGGATGAAATTGAGTTAGAGACTTAGCTACTTTAAATTACCAGTATGACAATATATCATTGTAATTGTAACACTATCCCAGTTGTGTCAAATTTGCATAACAGATTTGACACCTCATGTCTTCATGTTCATTTATTGGCCTACACCAAAATAACCTAAATAATTAAAGATGCATTATGTAACAGCTAAATCTGCCTTTTGCAGGTCTTTAGTTTGGCTTCAAATTTCAAATGTTAAATAAATTAATATTTAGACATTTATTAACATGACTAGCCCATAATCAACTCTCCAGATTATCCTATGGCAGAGATTTAAATGGATTAAAATGCCGGCAACATTCAAAAATTTAATGATAAAATGGATAATTGAGACTTGTCTTGTTTGTCCAATACCATTGCTATATCTACGCTAATTTCCATAATAAAAACCAAATTTTTAAAATATATCTTCTGTATGCCTCTTTGTCTACTTCATTCTGCTTTAGATTTGACACATCCAGGAACGCTTTCAATATCATTTGACCTAATTCTGGCAAATAATAACATCATATATTTAGTAACTTGTTTATCATACCATTGATGCATAAATAGTTAGATATTTTAGTTTTGACCGATCCAGGAACCGTTATTTGACCTAATTCTGGAAAATAATGGCATCATATATTTAGTAACTTGTTTATCATACCATTGATGCATAAATAGTTAGATATTTTACATATTTACTTCTTGGTTTCATTAATATAAATGGCAAGTCTTAAGCATAAATTCCACTAAGACAAGAACAATTAAAATATCAGTGAAAATTGACTACTATTTATAGAAGGGATAATAATTAATAATGATAAAAAAAAAGAATAAATATAAAGTTTAAAAGAACAAAAGTTGAGAATAAAGGATCTTTTTTTTTTCTAAAGACAATACAACAATTAATTTGTAAGTATGTCTTTTATATTTAGACTTAGAACAAGTTAAAAAATCAGAAACTCTCTGACACGAACATACACTACAAACTGTATGTATATTGTAGACATTAAAACTGAGTACCAATGATTACTTAATCAATTAAATACACAAGTTGGAATCGTCCTCTTAGTCACTACTTACTGTGTGAAGTGATCTAGATTGGGGTTTAAGACCACAGAATACAAAATTAACATATAATTCAATTAAATAAAAGGTCCAATGTTCAAAAATATAGGTAAATATACCTGTAGATTTTCAAGCCATACACAATAAAAACTAGTCTTACTGAAAAGCATCAATTTTAACATGGATATCGTCAAACCCACCTGTATTCTTTGCCAGAAGAATATCCACTGTTGGTATTTTGTTTTTGCTTTCTTAATTAAATATTATATAATCAATCTGAGGACATTTTAACATGAAAAATTAGATACGCAGATTGTCCGCAAAATACAAATGATGTTCAGTCGCTTTAATTTATTAGGACTTAAAAAACACATTTTTGACATTCTACTGCCTTGTGTGTTTAATTCATTCATCAATTTAATATATGTTAATGGGTCATTCCACAGTCTCAGACACCAATCAAGATCACTACCAAAGGAAATAGTAGATTAATCTCACATGCTATATAAATTACGCTAAAAGTCTGTAAGTTATAAATAAGAATAAATAATCAACACATCACTATCAATCACAGTTTCACGAAAAGACTTTTTTCTATGATTTTGATTTCCAAACCACTATTACACATTACCACTTATCCAGTTTAAAATGTTACCGTAATATAGGTAACACAGATAAAAGAAAATAAAATTAAATGTTACTCTCTTCAGCAGACGAATCAGCTACATCTATATTAGGTGTTTTCTTTGGTAAATCAGTCCTATTTTTCTCTATGTAAGGTTCCAGGTAATTTAACCTAGGGGGTAAACTAATACGACTCCAATTTTGTCGCTGTAACGCAGGAGTACAGGAAGGACTGGGAAGTTTCGCTTGCTCGCTAAAATCTAACGTTAAATACTCAACTTGATCATCATCTAACATAGGACCAGTACTTGCGATGCTTTCAGTGTCTGAGTTATCATCTCCTGACTCTACAGACTCTGGAAGCCGTAGAGAATTCAATCTATCAATCTGGGTATTGAGTTCTTTAGAATCAGGAGTGTGTGATTTTTTGCCTGGCTTGGAAACGTGTAATATATTCCCGGTATCTGTATCTTTGAATGAAGTGCGTTCTAATGGTAAAGAGCTAGTTCTATGAGCTCGTGTTTGTACTAAATGCGGATTTTCTGGCGCCAATGCCTCCTGATGGTGTGAATACTGCTGTGTGGCATCTTTTTGTATGGTCTGTGGATAAACCTGCGATAATGGTTCCATGATTGGATTAACCCGTAATATTAAACCTTGTAGCTTGTTCTTCTGTTTGGGTGTTGAAGGTGAAGAACTAGTAATACTGCTATCATCAGGTGTACTATGGCTAGATGTTAGATGTCTATGAACCAGATATGACGGACTACCAGGACTACTCGACAAACAGTGCTCTTGTTTAATATCTATAGGTTTCGATTGCATTTTTTTGTTTTCGTTCCATGGAAATATTTCTTCTTCGCTTTCGGCCAAGGCGGCTTTCTTTTGTACCTGAGTTGAAATCTGTGTACTACTTTTACGCCTGGGGGGTAATGACATATATTCATCTTCCAAACACGGAACGTCAAAATCCTCTTCGTAGTCTGCAGAACGAATGCTTTCTCCTGAGGTAGGACTTTGGATGCTGTTTTGTTTATTCTCTATTGCACATCGATAACTCGCTCTCCTTGCTTCGTCACGACTTGAGTGAATAATGGAAGGGGGTTTAAAGTTTTTCAAGGAAATACATGTATCGGACATGGAATGAGACGGTGAGTTTGGAGAAACCTTAGACAGTGCTTGATTGGTTAAAGAAAATTCAGTCATATCGTAACAGCTACTTGTATGAGGAGTGACACTACCATCCATTCGAATTTGCCCCCCTTGAGGGGGAGGTGAAGGGGATTCGGCCCCGACACCAGCTCCGCGTACCCCTAATCGTATTTGTGTTTGTTTTTCGAGTCTTTGTCGATGAATATCATCACTTATAGCCTCGAGTGAATGAAGCGCCTGGGAATATAAAGATTTCGATGAGGTCACATCTTCTTCTAATCTACTCACTCGACCTTTCTGATCCTGAGAATGAAAAAAAAATATTAGTGACAAAACTATCCAATCCAAATCTCTGCCACTATATCTACGGACTTCCCCACCTCTAAGAATTTTCAAACAGAAACTCTAAACTTACTTGTTTCAATGTTCATATTTATAACTGTTTCCTGTAAACTTTGTTAGGGCTTTGAGCAAACAATACTGTTTGGCCTCTAGCGCTTTTTAAGAACCCTTATTATTTATTATGAACAAAATTTTAAATTTAATTTTGCCAAGTATCTGATGACTTAGTACAATATGCACTGCTATTATTGTCACTAAAGTCCTACTTCACTACATTTGGAACTTCTTTTTTTTTTAAAATTCAAGAAATTTTATAAAAATGTTAATATTTGACATTCAGCATTAAGCACCTGAACAACCTAAAACTAGCGCTCAACTCAAACAGAGTCACAGGAGGAGTTTTTAAATGGGCTCCAAAACTCATTTTAAGTTTTTCAGGGAACTGGGGTAATAAATGTTTACACGTACAAGGTTGCAAAGTGTTAAATCTGTTTCTAATTAAAATCATATACGTAACTAGAATTAAACATTCAATGTTTCATGAAGTATACGATAGTTAAGTAAGAGACTCTTTATAACAAATGACATGAAATGGGATTTAACGTCCTACTTTTCTGCACCAACTGGGCTAATGAAGATGGGCATAAGCCATGTAATATGCTATGGGCGAAATTTTGTCTGGACAGTAGAGTCTACTCTTATTTAAAATTCTAACTGTCAAAAGGTTCTATTCAAGTACACCAACATGTAGATGGGATCTCGAATTTCCGTCCCATCCGAACAACTAGATTTTATTCCTTGCCAGACCCTCTGTCACTTTTTAGAACAATAAACAAATGAATCTATATGTTTTGATATACAATGTATAAAAACCGTAGATATCTAACTGTTTATTTTAAATAAAATTAAATTAAATATACAAAAGGTACTGTACCTCCATTATTTGATTAAATCTTGCTTTCATCTCAAAATATGGTCTGCAATAGAAAAACGAAATCTTTTACTAAATAGTTTACTCTCAACAGACCAGTATTTTCCACCAAAGTTATGTTGTTGTTCAGTCCTAATTATGGCGTGGAATGGAGTTCATGGTCTCAACAATACAAAACTAACATAATATGGTGTTTTTCTACACTGCAAGGGGGAGTAATATGGCCTTAACAGTTGTGTTTTTGCCAACTCTTTATTGAATTCCAACTGCTAAGGGTTGTTGTCTGTGAAAGCCAATGTGAGTACAGTGGGAAGTTGATTGTCCCGTCTGAAACAACGGACTGAGCACACTAAAATCGTCAGCCATGTGGTCATCACTACTGACAAATATGAACCAGGCTTCAAAAATCCCAAAGGGATCCAAACCTGGGACATTCTAGTTGACAGACCTACTGCTTCACCAAAGTTCTTATGAATCTACCCTGAAACCAAGAAAGGACTAACTACAAACAATTAATAATTTAGCAGAATATTGTAAGCAAGATTTATTAGCAACTTTTTCAATATTAATTATAAATTTGAAAACAACTTGCCACTATCATAATGTATATGAAACTAATATATGTCCTATCTAAAACCACAACCAAATCTACCCAAAACTCTCGATCACAATGATTTATTACATGTAATATGATGCTTAGAACTGTATTTAAAGGGACAATAACCTGCACCTTAATCTTAAATAATATAACTACAAAACAATAAAATACCAACACCACTATCCCAAATAACATTGCAATTATTATCCAATCAAGAAGTACCACTCAGTTTGACTTGGCGACTCGCAGAAGAATCTTTATAAGGATAAATACAGGGGATGAGATTTCTACACCTATTTTTGTAATCAAGTGACATATTACAGCCTTTGTTCTAAATAAATGGTTTTAAAAGATTATATACAGTCATAAATAAATAAAGTATAAGACAAAATAACGTTTCTATCCATATTTAACCAGTTTACATGTTTGCTAAAATACAAATACTTACAAAACAATACGAGTAGACCCGCATAATGTAAATGGAACGAGGCGTATATAGAGTTAGGGAAGTTTGTCGGCAGTAAAAATAGGCAGGTCACCACACTGCTTACATAGAATTTCCAGAATATATTTAATGACTGTACTATCTACGGGGTTAAATATGGGCAGAAAAGTACAGCTTTTTTTATACTCAATTATTTTATGATACCATTAGCAAGCAAATAAATAAATGCCCATAACTTGAGTTCCTTCTCATAGCTACTTACATAATTTCCAACCAATGGCGATTTGCAATATTACTTAGCTGAAGGAAACTTCTGCGAGTTGTCAAACTAGATATGGTAACACAAGAAAAAAGAAAAAAATAATTTAGTCGTTCATTTCCATAAATCTGCGTGAACTTAATTCAATGCACTTATCTTGTATATTTGTAACTGAGGGTTATGTTTTGGTTGATCAATGACATGTTTTAACTGGGTGTTATGTTTTGGTTGATCAATGATTTATGTTGTAACTGGGGGTATTGTTTTGGTTGATCAATGACATATGTTTTAACTGGGTGTTATGTTTTGGTTGATCAATGACTTATGTTGTAACTGGGGGTGTTGTTTTGGTTGATCAATAACTTATGCTGTAACAAATAAGTATCATATTACAACAACTTAATATTGTATACTGAAGTGGAAAAAACTTAACTCCGTCATCATTCTGTATCATGCATTCAAAATTTGATGAAGTTCAGTAAAAATGAAATAATTATAGTTTGGCGAGATGCATAAATAATTATAAATAAAACTTATGTAGGCCACCTGGTGTCATGTAACTGTATTGATAGTATATGTGTACATTATACATTTTAGATAGCTGTGAAGTTAGATGTGTTGTGTATATATAGAACTAGTAGCTTTAGGCACTATTATAATGATTACAATCAACATAACAACATTATTACACCACAGTGTTAGCAATATAGATAGTATCCACTTGTATTACAAACTAACAGCACTTAGCAATATTGATATAATTTATTTATCATATCCATCTACCAGACTTCAATTTAAAAATAAATACTAAATATATTAAATTCTAAAAAAGAATATTTTGGCTATTAATAAATTTAAATGCGGAAAGCAATTTTAAATAAAAAGATAACAATAAATAGGACATAAAATGTAACACAAATGTATAGGTGGTTATGATGATATAATAAACACCTCTGTTTATGTTTTAAACAAAAAATAAAATCAGCTAAAACTGTTTTGTGCCATTCACTTTTCATTCATTCGTTTAATATTTTCAGAGCCAGGTGTGGCACAAACCCATTGATTGGCTTGAAAATCGAAATTTTATTCGAGTATTCTGAATTGTTATCAAAATGTCATATCCTAGGAAATGAGAGCAAGAGAGAGAAGTGGGGTTTAACCGTTCACTTGACACATACCTGGATATATCATTCAATTTTATTTTAATAATTCACTCCAGCATAGGTGAATGATTTTACTGGATATACACACATGAAATAATGATATGATACACTGCTTATGGACACATGTTTGAGTTCTGGCTATAATCAATGAACATTTTGTTTTGAAAAAAAAGCAAAAAAAAAAACGAAATGTAGATCTGTTTTGTAAAATGTGATGAGAAGTCTCTCAAAATTAACCCTAATATCTACTACTGACCCGAGTGGTTGATCTTTCAGCCAATTTTTATGTTATTCATCTATTCATATTTGTTCCTAAAATATTCCAATCCATAAACTAAATTTAATATCATCATTGTTCTATAGACAAATGCTGATAGGTGAGATAGTGAAATATTAAAATTCAGTCTGCTGCAAATTTATTATCAACAGTTGATGGAAACAGCTGTTAATGTAAGCATTATATACAACTGATATATAGAAATTTTATGTGTATTTTATTGACAAAAATATCTATGATTTATTTGAGTTTAAGGTTTACACAATATAATGTAAGCTTACTGTATATCGTTAATTTCCTTTGTTTTGTGGTGTATACAGTAGGCTACATATGTACCAAATTCTGAACACAACGCAAAAGTTATTTGATTTTGAACTTAATCATGCTGGCCTTTTATGTTCTGAGGGGGTGCGCGAGGTTGAGAAAAAAATAATAAATTACTTTGATTTTGTAATAGCTCGTTTCAGTTCTCTTTGAAGTTGTTGAACTCTGGCCTCTCCTTCTTTAAAAACCATCATTGTTTTTTGATGTTCTGCTTCGCTTTCCATTCTCTCTAATTCAGCTTCGTTTACCTAAAGTTATGAAATTATTAATCAGGTCACAAATGGCTTTGATGGGATTGTTTGTTATTTAGCGTGCTTAAACTCTTTCATTCAATTTTTTTTAAAATTTCAAAACTACTTTTAGACATGTTGAAGAATACTAGTACCTTCATGGTGGCATGGTTAAGCATCTCTTGCCAAGCTGGGTCCGAATCATCTTCTCGTCTTTGATAACCCTGTTCAGCTAACTGTACCATTTCTTTAGCTGCCTCATGCATACTACATGCTCTTTCATATCGTAATGCTGCCTTATGGGTTTCCATATGAACCTGAAATCAAATATGGGTGAATGTTAAAAGAGAAATATACTTCAAGCCTCAATCTGATTAAAACAAAGATCCTAATTCGTTTTGTTTTTTATAGTTCAAAATTTCGTTTTACTTGTCTTTACTACACTAAGATCTGGAAGAGATGTTATATAACCCGCGTTCTGGATGATGTGAGGGATTAGCCAATGAAATAGTCTGTTACAGTGAGTTTTTGGCGTGAGGTGCATGGAACTGTGGGTAACCCACTAGAAACATCAATGCTCATTGGTTAATCAATTGTCTGACTTCATAGGGTCAAAAGCCTTTTGTATGACCTCTGACGTGACCTTCCACTACAACCGGTCAGATTTTCATGTAGTAGAAGCCATCGAAAGTATAAAACAATGAAACAAAATATATATCTGTATTTTAATCAAATTGTTCAAGTCTTGAACTTCAGTTTTCGGCAAGACAGAGATAAATTTATGGGAATTGGAAATCAAAGTCACTGGTTGCCGGTCAGATTCTTTAGGCATTTCTGTCTTTTCACAACATGAGCATGTACTAATCAAGAAACAAAATCATGAATTTGTCATATCTTCGTAAATACTGAACATAATTGAACCCTTTGGGACTGATATTCGTTTTACAGGTTCAAATTTCTCAATATAGTAGTTTGCAAGGTATTCAGAATCAGATAAATGGCAATCAGAGACCTTTAAGCAATGTATGTATGGTAGCTTAAAGTTTTAGTTTAAAAAAAGTGTTCAAAGAGATTACTTGCCTCCTTGGCTCTATGTCTGGCCTCATAATATGGTCTTGCTTTATCAACACAATTACCAAGTTTTTTAGCCAGAACATTGAGTTTCTGTATGGAATCAGATAAAACTTGTCTAAAACTGGCTCGGGCATCCTGAAAATTTTACAAAATTTAGGACAATATTAAAAATTGTACCGGTAATAACCATACAACAAATAAAAAAACAATCACAATGTCTTTAAGTAGAAACAAAATAGGTCTAGCAGTTAGCAGTAGACATGTACCACAAGCAAGCAGATAAAACTTCTTAATGGAAGTCAATTAAATTGTTTTGAGACTCTCTACACACTGTTAGTTTGTGAATGAAATAATAATGATGCCTTTAAGCAGTGACATTATTATTATCATTATGCAATTTCGGCTGTATATAAATAGGCCTTGTAGTGTACATATCTTTGGTAATGACTGTTATAAATGTTTAACCATGGGATTGTTCCATTTTTTTTCAATGCATCTAGCTTGTCATCTCTTCCTATGATTAGAGTTACAGGTACAAAGAATTGTTGAAAACTTAATACTTGTTAAGTAGACCTAAATATAACGATTAGCCCAAAAGTTAAAAGCAAATTTTAAAATGTGAGCATACTTACATCCAATTCTAACTCAAGTTTGTTGATATCATCTGATGCCTTGTTTAACTTTTCTAATTCCACCTACAAAAGAAATTATCTATACTAAATACTAAAACATATAATTATAAGGTCCATGATTTATGTACCATACAGTTCTAGGGTTTATTCTTTATAAACAATAAAAGAAGTGCATAACAGTTAGGGAGCCCCACCATAAATAAATATCTCCAAATATCTCGACAATTACACCACAATATTTATATATACCAAGCCTTAAATCAGTTTCGCACATATATAGTCACCCAATAAACGGTCATGTTGTACTTAATAAGCTATGACCATTTAACCATCCATAAATAATAGCCTGAAAAATGGTTACGAGTGTCGGCCATAACATCCAGGCACTTTTGAGTAAAAAATAGGTTACATGCCCTTGTTTTGAAATTAGTCTCGCTTAACCAGCCTACCGAACCATTCCCCATCTGATTGACAGGCTAGGAATTTGGATAATCAAGACCACTATTTTTACGAAACCTAACAGAAAGCTGGAACAAGAAATTGAATTTAGAAACACGCATGGTAGGCAGCTCAACAATTGTGTTATCCCACCGGGTGACTAGGTAGAAATCACTTCGAGACATCCACTGAAGCTTGCACATTCACTGTGTTGAGCTAAATTTTCAGTAGGGAAATTTAAATTTAAGTACGGTATATTTAGGTTAGGTTCTGGTAATTAATGAATCAATTATCAACAATACGACTAATGGCTCAGTAATATAATCAACCAGCAACTTAAAAACTTGAGTTACAACATGGGCCTTAAACATACATTATGCAAGAGCTAAATCTGTCTATTGCAGGTCTTTCTTTACGCCTGAAATATTATATAAACTATTAATTAGACATTAATTAACTTATCCAATAAAACCATAATCAACTCTCAATGTCTTCTTATGTGTCAGATTTTCATCGGATTTGAATCCGATCTGCTGCTCAACACTCATTATGATTAAATCCAAAAATGGATAATCGAGACTATGTTTTTTTATTGTACCAAGTTAAATAATGATGGTCGAGGCTAGGCTTAAAATTCAAAAGCTAATATTAGTAATATCTCGCTTCGGAGTGGAGCAATTTGACTGAAATTTTCAACATATTCTATTTACGTTATCTATTTTTTTAACTATTATAGCGAGAACAGTTAACTCATATCTAATCTCCCATAATGCCTCTTTAATAATAGATGGCCATAGGTCTCATAGCTTAGATTATTAACTGACACACAATTGTTCTTGTCTTCTTGGGGGGTTGGCTGGCCGAATGGTTAGCATGTGCGTGCTCTATCATAAGGCCTGTCATTGAGTCAACTGGCATGGTTTCGAATCCCCGGTTGTACGTGACAAGGAGTAGGGTCGCCTGTCCAACCTTGTGGGTTTTCTCCGGGTAATCCGGTTTCCTCTCACTGCTAAAGACCCAGGCCGTGCAAGCGAATTATTGAAATAAAATTAAACCATATGTTAGTCCCGAAATGACCTAGTTTGTGTCGAGTGGACTTTAAACCCCATTTTTGCCTCCCTCTCTCTTTCTCTCTTGTCTTCGTAGCCTTCTGACATGTCTCAAATCTTCAGTACATTCAATCATTAATTTCACCTGTATTCTTGGATCCAAGGCCTCATCTTCATATTCCTCTGTATTCAAGCTTGAATTAGATGATATTCGACGTCTCCGACCTTGGTGCACTTGTTGTAAGACATCAGCCATTTTAAATAAGGCCTACAACAGGTATAATTAGGCCTTTTATTAAACTGGATCTAGCCAAGATCTACATACATTTTTGACGTTACACTTCTGACATCCTTGCTAAAAATATATTACTTTACAAACAATATACGTCAGGATTCAAGCTCAGCATTCTTATACTATGTGTATTCCTGGAAGTATTTAAATCTAAATGTCTTATTGTCACTGTGAGTGACATTACTTTACATTTTAGACAGTTAAATGTTTTAAAATAACCACTAAATTCTTAAAAATAGTCACATCGTAAAAAGATTATAAAGGTAAAATTATACCGTTAGACGGCGCTGTTATTGACCCCGATTATTTACGGTTATGTTCGGGCGACATCTGAGGTCAGACCGTAGCTATTACCCCTGCCCTTCCCCCAGCAATGAACACAATGCCAATATAGTCATGTTACGAAGAAATCAATAAAGAAGAGATTGGGATTCCAAAACCCCACGTCCTGTTTACAACTTCACTGCACCAGTACGGTAGGTAACTTTTCATCATGTACATTGTCAAATAGTTGTCGGCTGCATCTAGGGTAAAACTGTTCAGCTTTATTTGGACCTCAATTACAAGATCATGCAGGCTCCCGCTTGAAACCAAAAATAAGACACGATATAATTACGATTGTAGTAACTTGCAGTTTTCTTATCAACTGCATTGTCGATTTGATTCATTTGGTTTTTAATTGGCCCACTTTAGAGATATTGGGTATAAATTGGATAAAATACAGCGGTAGCACACTTTTCAAAAATCTACTAATATTTTAACTCAAGATTTGTTGATTTTCACCTGCTTGCTCAAGTTTTCTATATTGGAATGTAGTTCATCTTTATTTGATCAAATGGAATTTCTCTATTTGAATAGAATTTCTCTATATTTGAATTTAATCTATCCATACATCTGAAGGAATTTATTTGTATTTGAATCGCATTTCTCTATATTTGAATCACATGTCTCGATAAATGAATTGAATTTGTCTAAATTTGAATCGTATTTATCTATATTTGAATGGAATTTATCTAAATTTGAATCGTATTTCTCTATATTTGAATGGAATTTATCTGAATTTTATTCGGAAGGCGCTGTAGCACAGTGTGTAAGACGTTGGTACACTTTTCAAAAATCTACTAGTATTTTAACTCAAGATTTGTTGATTTTCACCGGCTTTCCCAAATTCTCTATATTTGAATGGAGTTTATCTATATTTGATTAAATGGAATTTCTCTATATTTGAATATATCAATGGAATTAGTCTTTCGGATTGGGCGAAAAAACGAGGTCCCGTGGACACATTGGCGTGTATAAAAGATCCCTGGAAATTCGAATTCGATATAAGTGTAGACTGTAGCACCCCGGTCCGGAAGCAATTTCCCCCATAGCACACTGTATCTATAGCGTATGTAATTTGAATGGAATTTATCTATATTTGAATGGAGTTTATCTATATATTTGAATCAAATTTCTCTTTATTTGAATTGAATTTATCTATATTGGAACGAGTTTATCCTTGTTTGATAATTCCTATATATTATAAATTCTAATAACTATAATAATTTTAACTATTAACTTGTCAGGTCTGAATTTGACATGCCTAATTAGGAGATAATAAATATTTATATCTCCAAATTTGAGGTTAATATCTCCTAATTTAGGACTTAGTATCTCCTAATAAGGACTTAATGAGAAGTTATGATTTGGTTTATTTGGCCCTAATTCACTTCCATAATAAAGCTCTAATTTCTAAGCAAAAATGAAATACATGGATGTGCCACAGGAATGTTCAAATAGGGAAAACTGACAAAAAACATTAAAACTTACTTTACAGATTTTTATACCCTCTATTTTCAATTTTGATGACCAATTTCAACAGATTTTACATCGAAACAAATTGTCATATAAAACTGTAAGAAACATAAATATTTTATATTCATAATAGTTGTTGCATAGTAATAAATTCTTGGTGGCATAGTACTTGGTGCATTAAATAAAACGCAAAATATTTGATGGAATGTAATTAGAGTTAATAGATTGTACCGGTATAGACTTAGCCTATTGAAAGAATTATGGTGCTATATGAGCAAATATTAGCTCGAGGTAGGACAGGTCATCGAATTAACCAGGCTCGAAATAAATACAGACGATTGTGTGACTTTTATAGAGAATTTGCCGGGACCGACAGCTGACTTCGACATGGCCATGGTCAGCTCTAGCTGGCCATGGTCATCAAGATTACCAAGTACAAGAGGCCTTATGCCTAATTTTAAACCAGTAAAGTTTTATTTTCATTTCGTTTCGATGTTGTCCTTGTCTTATTTATTTATTATATTGTTGTTTTTGGGCTATTACGTAGTCCTTATAACGATAATATCCATGGTTGGCGCTCGAATACTACCCATTAATGAATCGGATGTCTTCGGTAAACTAAACCTCTTATAACTGGATTTCTGTTATGTCACAAATCGATTCTTGACCAAGTGCTCTAAAACGTAATTGATATTGTCTTTGCTAATTTAATTAGTAATTTGTCGTGCATTTCTTGCGTTTTTATTTGAATATTTTATGACTAAAATCCATTCGGCTCTTCGCGGGTTTTAAACACCTCTGATCGAAATACCCGGATGGCTAGCCTGCGCATTAGTCATATTTCATTTGGGATTGTTATTTCTCAAGGTTTTGAGAGGTTTGTTGATATAGATTTCTAATATTTCATCTTTTTACAGTGTGTTTATTTGCTTCGAAATTCAACTACGCGTTGTTGGTATCATTACATCATGCATTCCAATGTAACTGTAAGTTTAAATATATCTTGAGTGCAGGGACCTTCAGTAGTGGAAGAAATCTGTGATATCGACAGTCCATGACATGACTGAGTCACTGCACTGACAATAAACAATGACATCAGTCGTTCCAGTAACCGAGAATAACTTACTGATATTGGCACTGTAGCAACAGAGAAACAGTAGCACAAACTTTGGCAGAAAATAGCAATAGGAATATTGCAATGATTTTTAGCACTTCCACTTAGTAGACTAGGCCTAGAGCCCAATGGCAATTGAATAAAGGATTTATTTTTCTTTGATTATCATTGGTGATTGAAAATGTAACTGTCAAACTAAAGCTGGGTGTCAGTTTACTTAGTTACCATGCAAGTAGTCTAATAATATGAAGAAGGCAGTCATTGTTTTTTTTTTAAAGGATCTCAAGCTCCATCAAGCATCTGAATAATAGGAGAGTTTTTTTTTCGAGCACATGATACAGCTAAAAATTGCTTTCCAGGCATGGGCATGGCCCATGGCATAATTTCAATACTGTATTTTATAATTTTATTTTATGCCTTAATATGGTTGACCAATGATCAAAAGTCACTGTCTAATGTGTATGATACTAGAAGGATGTCTTGGCTTTATCATGGAACTTGGACTGGACTGGACCCTATGAGAGATAGGATCCATGGCTTATAGACTCTAGATCTTGTAATATTCCTTATTTACCAAATCCCCCACTAGGGAGAGCATTTTTGACTCTTGCAAATTACGGAAACGGTTATATTTTTTTTTAACAAACCATCGCAATATAGAAAACAATGATTAAAAAGTGCATACATGTATGAGGATAACCCTAAGAATAGGGCCATATTATAGATAACACAAGGTAAAATTTTATGGATCCACAATTACTGAGTTTAATACTAATCGAAGTTGCGACGAGGATACTCTCGCCTTTAAGAAGCAAATGATAGTCTATGGGTATGTGAATAGTAGGCAAATATATACAGAATATGCAACAAAAATAACAATCAAATACCGGTACAATTAAAACTTAACACCTTTGATTAAGGGGGCCAATAACAACTAAATCCACACAGCGGAAAATTGTACCCTGTGTTAATATGTTCAATTACTAAATGCCAAACAAAGAAGAACATATTATAGATATTTTTTAATAGTGGTGGCAATGCCAGGTCACTAGTATTTGTAGGCCACACTTCACCAATATCCCAAACAGCATAATAAGTTGCATCACACAGTAGACTAGTACTAAGAGTAGCATTAATATTTAATAATATAGTACTGAATAGATCTATGGATCTATTGTAGCAATTTGTTTCACAGAGAATTACTGCCTTTAACACGTGCCGTCTCAACACGCGTCGTCAATCATTGACTGAATGGCGCATGCATTGTTTACATAAGACGTCACTGCTTCGGGCAGAATGATGCCTTTTAGTCATTTTAATACCCATTTACACTAAATAGGAAATAATTTTTACCTACAAATATGTCAAACGCCTTTATTTATTTTTCCAATACATAGATAAAATGTTTTAGAATTTAATTTGTCACAGGAAAAAAGTTAATATTTCTGGCTCATTAAGTCGCATCGATGTCATCCTTATCAGTGATTGTAGCAGCTGAGCGAAAATTCACTGCTGATCAGTGTGCTATGATTGAATGAATCACTCATTGTTACATGTATTACTGAATTTTGTATTTAGAAAAGAAGATATAGGCCATGACAAAGACCAGAAACCATAATATTATCACACTCTTTAAAATATCAAATTGCCCATGCTAATATGTACTCAGATTGATTATTTAACATTTAATTAAGAAAACAAAATGAATATATATACTAACGCTAGATAATCTCCTAACTTAGATTCAATCATATTTGTGGACAACAAAATGGCGCCAGGCATATTACATAGCAAGCAGCATAGATAGGTCTATGAAATTTGAATTCAACATGTCTTTGTAAACATTTTTTGGATCGATATTTCTATTAGAGTTTCATCTTTCACAATATTTAGTTTATATGGAATTCCTTTTGCGCTTAAATGATGCAATAATGAGACTTGAAGGTATCGTACTACAGAACTGCTGTGATTTATTGTGTAAGTGGCATTTAGTAACTGGATGAGAATAACACAATTATATGGAATACAAGTTACTTGAGGGGTTTATTTCAGCGACGTTTCGAGGAGGGTTCTCCCGTCTTTATCTTAGAACACTAGTCGAAATGTTGCTGAAATAAACCCTTCAAGTAACTTGTATTTAATATAATTGTGTCATGTGTTATGCTGTGATTTAGGTTAAAATAAAATCTTGAATTGGGTTGAACTGAAACGGAAACAATTAATTTTAAATTGTTAAAATCATGTTTATCAGATGAAAGGCCAGCTGTTACAATATATTGTAATAGTTTGATAGGCATATCTATATATATATATGTATGTATAAACATTAAAACCCCCTACTCCTGTCTTTCAGGACAAAACACACAAACAGAATGACTCCATAACCTAAGACATTATAGGCTTTTAAGCTTCCAGCTTATTATATACAGCATGATGCTTGCAGATAAAAGTTCTAATGTATTCTGTGATTATATTGGATAAACATGGACACCCAACGTGGGTAAGTAATTATAGTGCAGGTGTTTTGAAATGAAATGAAATGAAATGGGGTTTAACTAACGTCCTACTGGTCTGCTCCTAAACTGGGCTAATGAAGATGCCCGCGCAGCAGTACTATGGCCTACTCTTATATCGAATTCCAACTGCCAAGGGAACTTTTACATGCACGCCAATGTGTACACGGGACCTTGGTTTTTTGTCCCATCCGAATGACTAGACAGCTGTCCTTGTCAGGCCCTCCGTCCTGCAGACCTGACAAGGGGAAACCACGCTGGAAAATCGGGATGAACTTTCTCGGCCAATGCAGGGATCAAACACCCAACCTCCATTCTAGTGAGCCAGCGTCTTACCCACTTAGCCACGTGATCCCCAGAGGTGTTTTGATGTTAACAACATGTAGCCTAAGTTTGCAAAGATGCATCTACATTGTACGTTGTGGAAATTCATGAAAAATAAGACAGTTGGCCATGGCAGTTGCTCCCTGATAAACTTTCTCAAACATGATACTCAAGTACATGTACCATTTACTGATAATATGGTTTATTACCTACTAGAAATGATAACACTATAGCTCTTGACGTTTTTAATATGTAGAAGATCATGAATTAAATATAAGGTTGCTCTTTAGCTTGTGAAACACACCCGCTGTAATTGCCCAGAAATTATTTTATCTTTTCTCAAAGCACTGACAGCATGTTTATATTAATGAATGTTTGTCTGATTTGATAAATTCCCAGCACAAGTTTATAATTAAAAACAACCAAAATCTGATTCGGAATAGTTTGTTAAAATTGTATGATTCTCAATTAACTACGTTTTCAGATTTCTTTTGAGCAAGATATGATTAATTAGTGTCCTGTTTACCTGTTTTTGTTTTAAAATTTTATTTGGCATTGAATATTCATTGTGGATTAACAGTGATGAAACCCACAATCATAGTTGATGAAATGACTTTTGTACAATTTTGACAGTGCATCATGTACATTAATATCATCTTTGGGGAGAAATGGTCTTGGCACTTGGAAATGTGGTGGAATATTGTTGTTGCTCTTGTCTGTCTGTCAGTCTATCTGTCATAGTCATACACAATTTTGGGGGTTGGATGGCTGAATGGTTAGCGTGCATGCGCTGTATCATAAAGTCTGTCATTGAGTCGACTGGCGTGGTTTCGAATCCCCGGTTGTACGTGACAAGGAGTAGGGTCCCCTGTCCAACCTCATGAGTTTTCTCCGGGTCCTCCAGTTTCCTCCCACTGCTAAAGACCCCTATGCGCAAGCGAATTATTGAAATAAAATTAAACCATATGTTAGTCCTGAAATGACCAAGTTTGTGTCGGGTGGACGTTAAACCACATTTCTCTCTCTCTCTCTCTCTCTCTCTCTCATTCACAATTTTTTCTGCAGGCTCATCTGATCTTTTGAAGTTTGATAATGATAATGTTGTTTATATCTGTGAGGCAACGAATCCTAGATTGAATTTCAATGATTCCAGACTTATTGCCCTAGTTTACTTTGTAAAATCTTGCAAACACTCTAGCGATAAAAGATGTCATCTGATCTGCTTTAGATTTCCATGCATTGTTCACATAAGTGAAAACAAAATTTTTAATTTAATTTCAACAATCCATGTTACATGTACATGTAATTACCGGTACTTCTTAGTGTTATTGCTATCGTAAAATCTTGTGAAACCTTTAGCAGAAAAAGTTATAGTCAAGTCTGCTTGAAATTTATATGTAGAATTTATGTTCTTTCCTTCAATTATTGCTGTGAATAAAAATTACAACGAATACTTGATTGCTCTTAATTATGTTGTAGAATATTTTGCTTTTTATTTATTTAAAATTTCATTGTACAAAGCAACAAAATGGACGACTAACATGTACATGTAACTGCTTCTCAACTTATCTTTTAAATTTTGTTTGATTTAGGAAAAAGAAGATCAAATTTGGCGTAGATATTTTTCATGGCGAATGTCCTGAAGATTTACCTCTGGTTCAGTTAGCTGATCTAGATGAAGAACTAGTTGCTAGTTATACAGGACCTGATAAAGGATTGGCCTATCTACTAGATGAAACAAAAGAAAACAGTAATTATATTTTGTTCAAATTTAAGGAGGGGGGTTGGATGGCCGAATGTTTAGCATGTGCGCACTGTATCATAAAGCCTGTCATTGAGTCAACTGGCGTGGTTTCGAATCCACGGTTGTATGTGACAAGGAGTAGGGTCGCCTGTCCAACCTCGTGGGTTTTCTCTGGGTCCTCCAGTTTCCTCCCACTGCTAAAGACCCCTACCTACAAGCGAATTATTGAAGTAAAATTAAACCATATGTTAGTCCCAAAATGACCTAGTTTGTGTCGAGTGGACGTTAAACCCCATTTCTCTCTCTCTCTCAAATTCAAGGAAAGAATGTAAAAAAAAACTATATACATGTAGTAATTTTTATAGAAAATGTTTTCAGATTTGAACATGATAACTGTAATCACATACCGGAAATAAAATCTTGTCAGTGTTTTGAAGGACCGGTAAGAGCCCTTGATTGTGTGACTCACTGTTTTTAATATGACGTGGTCAGATTAGATTATGAATAACTACTATAAAAATTATTTCTTCATTCATATTTCTCTTCAATAAAGGTCAAAGGTCATATGCACTACTGAATGAATAAAATTATTTATTTATAATGGTAAACCAAGTGAAAATTCATAAATCCTCATATATTTTCCAATATATTCAATAATCGTTTTTAATTCCCTACTTTTTATGGCTAATTTTGACACTTTTGTGTGAAACATGACTGTGGGTTTATAAGTACATACTTGTAAATGTATGTTTATCATAGTTTATGTATGTAAATATCATATTTTCTGTTTTTACCCAATGAAAAAAGATTGATGAAACTAATTATATTAATATCATGTTGATGATCTAAAAACTACATACATGTATAAGCCACCACTTATTCCAAATTACGATAAACGTCATGCAATGGACTTGGCAAAAATCACCCTACTGGGTCGAAGGTTACTAACTGAGTGACCTATTCAGTATTAATACTGAATAGGTTATAAATTTAAAAGCATTTCAGTTTTACTAGTGCTTGTATCACGAGGCCTGTCATTGAGTCAACTGGCGGGCTTCGAATCCCTACTGTTCTGCTCCGACTGGGCTAATGAAGACGGGCATACACCATACAGTGTGTTATGAGAGAAATTTTGCCCGACAGTGGCACAACAGCCTACTCTTATATGGAATTCCAACTGCCAAGGGATCTTTTACATGCATGCCAATGTGTCCACGGGACTTAATTTTCTTGTTTCATGCAAACGACTATACATTGTCCCGTGCCAGGCCCTCCGTTCTGCAACACTGACAAGGGGAAGCCAACGCAGGGATTGAACATGGGACCTCCTGGTTAGTGAGCCAACTTCTGTACCCACTGAGCCACCATGTCTCCTCAATATAACAAATTCCTGTAATCATACAGACTGTAATTCATCTCACAATGTTTTCCTCATCACATTATTCTAATTGCGTACCCAGATTATCATTAATTCTTCTACCAGGCAAACTCTGGATTTACTTTTAATAAAATACTGTATTTAAACCTCTATTAGAAAATAGAAAAGTTTTATAAACTTGTGTATTTTAGATGGAAATGTTAGTACCATGGTGGCTGGAGTTGATGGTTGGAATAAGAAGGAACAACAGGCATATGGTATATGTATATCATTATATGAACAACATCCAGTCAATAAGAAAATGTCAGGTAAAATACTCTTCCCTCCTCTTTGATGGCATATAGTTAAAGCTACGGATTGTCATTTGAGAATTGTGAAAGTGGAGTCTAAAAGGAATTTCAGTCAAAAATCGTTCAGTATGTAGAAATTGAGTTAAAAATCTGAGCATGGATATAAAAATGCAAGGTCAGGATCAATTATTTTAACTATGTTTAAGTTTAAGTGTTTTAGTTTTAAACAACCTACATGTATAAAAAGTATGCAGAGGATGCTATGACCACATTGGTTAGAAAAAAAATGGACAACTTACATGTATATGAACACTTTTCCTTGACTATTGTTATAATGTTATGGTCAATTTTTTTTACCTTGGAAAGATGTGAAATATTCTTTGAAATAGCCAGAAGTGTTTTTGCAGTCTACAAAGGATTTAAACCATCACCTTGTATAAATTCATTCTGTATGTTACACAAGTTGAATATTATTATCAATATTATATTGTAGGAGATCCTGTAGCAGATGCATTTTCTATTTGTGCTAGGAAGAATAATACTATAATGGTGATAGCTGATGGCGTAAATTGGGGAGAGAAATCACGATTAGCAGCTAGATGTTGTCTTTATGGTAGTATGAACTATCTGAACAACCAAATATTTCAGCAAAAGAATTATCCATCATCCACTCAGGTGAATTTATACCCAAATACATTAAAATAGCTAGTGCTAATCAGCCTATCTACACTACAGTGCTGAAGTTTGGAATCTTGGAGAATCGCTAGCGAAACGGCAGCTAGCCAAATCACCGCGAAATAGGGTGTTTCGCGGTGAATTATGGTGTTTCGCGGTGAAACACGGCGAATCGCTTGAGTGCCGATATCATCCCGATGTAAGCATGTTGACGAAAAATGTAATTTATTTAAGTTGAATACAAGATATGTTAACACACTGTACATGTATAATGTGGTGCCACAATGTACGTGTATGCAAACAATGAATAACTTACAATTTTTTAAACGTATCATTTCATCTTATTGGCTGCTATCAAATCCAAACTTTAAATTATATTCGATGAGATTTTACACATAATTTCATTACTCGCAGCTTCAGTTAATCAAAATCAACCATTCATAAATCACAGTGCCATACATGTAAATCACTCCGCAATGCGGTTAACCGTACGTCACGTGGTCAGAAACGCGCGAAAACATGAGATGTTGGGTTTGACACGGGGACTATATATTCTTACGGTATATGATAATAATGTATTATGACGTATTAAAATAATATGGGTGGGAGGGGGTACACTGCGAAAGTCACAAAAGTGACAAATAGAACTTGCAACGGGAGTCGAAAGCGCTTTCAAATCAGACATAAGAAGCTTGTACTTACCGCAAAAATGAAATGAACGCGACACAAGTCTCCGATGTCAGAGAATATTAGTAAAGTATAACCGCTATCAAATCCACACAAAAATCCAAGGCACTCATTTTATTTTTGAAAAGAATAACTGTAGGCTCGATAGAAGAGCCTATTCTTCATGAACCCCAAACCAATGGTAACTGTCAACTTGTATGTTGTCATTCTCGTGCAGATTTGTTTGAATAACAGAAATGTCCCATGTATCAAAGATCAAAGAATAAAATCGCACGTAGCCACTCTTTGTTGTTTTTATGCGAATTCAATTAATCTAAAAGGGGCTCCGGCGCAATTTAAGGAATTATTTTTGAGCCAATATTAACCATCGCCAAATTTTTAAATCATGGGATAAAGTCAATTAACAAACAATACGGGTCTACTTTATTACAAAAACATTGGTGAACTTACCATTTTGTCTAAAATCATAACGCTAATCAACAAACAATACTATTGTTCTTTATTACAAAAACATCGGTGAACTATATTGTTTTTGTACATATTGTATTTATTTATTTGTTTGTACTATATGTAATACCTGATGAGTCTTTGGTTTAAAGGAATAAAGAATTTGAACTCGAACTAATCGCTGTCGGGATGGCGAGCCAAGCTAGTTGATTATTAGGTAAATAAAACAATATAAACAACCAATGAGTAAAAGTGATCTATTCTAATCAATTAAATAATATACAAGTCAAGTACCGGTATTACCTTAACCGTGGACGGGTTTGCCTGTGGATGGGTTAACGGACACTCAACTTACAAATATTAAATCATCGCCGTATTGGCACTGACTGACGGCACTTCGTGCACGGACTGTTGAATTCTCGTTTAATTTATTGTGTTAATTTCACTATTGTTTAAAATGTAAACAAAATCTTATCTCGAGTACGTAGTACCGTATATCGAGCTAGTCTAGTAAGTAGTGGGCTAGGTTAATCCAGACTAAAATGAAAGTCCTTTTATTGTATTAATAACGTTGGCTTCTGGTAGACTCGATTGTCATCTAAGGGATTATATTTTCTTCACGCGGTCTATTTATAGAACAGTAAAACGATTGTAAATATTGGCGCGATAAAAATTTAATTAGAAGTCCAAGCTATTGTTGATAGAAAATAATAATGATTTACGTGTATCATAGATAATATTAAGTAACAATAGAATGAAAATACTGTTTGTTGTTTTTCGAGTTTTAGGCCATTATTACTTATTTTATGCATATTTTTGGTATGAACTTTTTTGGACCAGTAAAATCTCATTCAGTCCAGCATGGACTGCAGGGTACATGTATATGCAGTAGGAAATCTACAAGTTGGGCGTACAAAAGAATGGAATCATTCAGAAAGTGTACTCAAAATAAGTAAATTATAACGGGGTGAAGAAGAGAATTATGTATGTATAAAGTGCGTTGGGGAAAAAATCCTAACCGATACAGAATGCCGGTAAATGTCTTCCCGAGATTACCTAACTCATTTGTTATTCAAACCTGCCTGTACATTACTATATTACAACTCCTTTAATTTATTATAGACAATATTAGTTCGACCCTAGCTTAAGGTAGGCTCGCGAATTCCTTGCGTGAAGCACGGCAAACACGATGTATTCTTATCGAAACACGGTGAATTCCTAGAGAAACACGGCGAATTCCTAGAGAAACACGGTCAATTCCTAGCGAATCTTAGAGAAAAATCGCCGCGAAATTTCACCGTAATTTCACCGTGAAATCTAAGAGAATCCCGAGAGTTTTTTTTCACCGCGTCGCGGGGATTTCGGTCCAAAAAATTCGGGAGGAACTGTAGTAATAGTAAACCAGATAAGGAATATCTAGTGCTAATCAACCTGATTAGGAATATCTAGTGATAATAAACCTGTTCAGGGATATCTACTGCTAATTTTAAGCCGTCATAATAATGATTAGAAACAACCATTTGAATATGAAATGAAATAGGGTTTACTGCACCAACCTGTCTAATGTAGACAGACATGTGCTACAGATGAACTGTTCTATTATCATAGGTGCAGTGCCAGGGAGGGGAATTCTGCCTACTCTTCTTTAATCTCAAATTGTCAAGGGATCCTTTACGTGCATGCTAAAGTGTACATGGTGGACTTTATTTTTTGTCCTATCCAAATGACTAGACACTTTTCTTGCTGGTCCTTCCGTCCTGCACCACTGACAAGGGGAAATCAAACTGGAAAATCCTGAGGAACTCTTGGTCAACACTGGGATTGAACCCGAGACTGGGAACTTCTTATTATTGAACAAGCACCATAGAGTCAGCTAGCCACCATGGCTATAATATATGCCATAAAATAGGTACATGTAGAAATGTCAATTAGGGAAGGTAACAGAATTGTAAATAAATACCCACTAGAAAGATCTTACATATTGAATTAAACATAAATTATGCAAGAGCTAAATCTTTCTTTAGGCCTGAAATGTTATCTAAATTATTAATTAGACATTAATTAACCTATCCAGACCATAATCAACTCTAGATGGTTATGCTAGCCTGCGATCTTTAGTGGATTATGAGCCGATTTACTGTATAACTTTCCTTCACGATTTAACGATTAAATGGATAATCGAGACTATGCTGTTTATCGTACTGACTTTAGTAATGATGATCGAGGCTAGGTGGAAATTTCAACCGCTTAGTTCTCGGTTCATAATAGATCAATTTGAATGAAATTTTCAGCAAATTGCCTTTACATTATCTAGTCTTTAACTATTGTAGTGAGAACTGCCAACTCGTCATCGAATCTTCCATAATGTATCTTTAACATGAGTTATTTTTATGTATTACAGGAAGCCTTGACCTTATTAAGAGAATCTTTAGATGAAGCTCACAGGTTCATATTACAAAAAGATGGTGGTTTAACAACTGTGTGTGCTTGTTTAATATGTCCTGTATCAAACTCCGATCAATACGCTGTCTGTTGTGTTAATGTTGGAGACAGTTTCGGTTTTATATATAACGTCAATCATGGCATTCGCGAAGTAACAATAGGATCCCATGATGTTTCCTCCGAGCGTGATATAAGAGATGCTGGAGGGGCTTTAGGACCTGTTGATGGCATTAATCCAGAATTACATAATTTAACATGTTCATTGTCATTCTGTAATGCCGGAGACGTGGTATTTCTGACAACCGATGGAATCTCAGATAACTTTGACCCTGTTGTGACGAAAATAGCAATAGCTCAAAGTTCTCCAGATGCTAATCTCAACTCCACAAGTGCTGATTTTCATTGTTCAAAACCAGAAATGTCACCGAGAGAGAGACACATATACTCGATGAAAGAAATGGAAAGAGTTGTGCATGAATTCGAGCTTATAACAGAAGAGCAGTGCTCTGCTCAGGAACTGTGTGGATCTTTGGTCCAACATGTGCTAACTTTGACTGATGATAAACGTAAAATTCTCGAGAATCCAGCTCTGTATTCAAGACGACGTCTCACAGTCTCGGAGAAACAAGTACGGGACTCTGAAATAGTTCGGAAAATGGCCAGTGCTCCTGGTAAATTAGATCATGCTTCCATTGTAGCAGTTGAAATTGGTGCATTTGAAGATAAAGATGAAGAAAATGATGATGAAGATGATGATGATGAATGTGAACTTGATGATGGTGTAGATGCCACCTTTACGTCGATTGATACGTCTTGTTTGTCTCAATCTCCAGGCCACCGTTCCAAAAAATCCGGAGCTCGCAAATTTTTCTCACGGATCAGAAAACTCTCGTCTCCCACAACCTTACCAGCAGAACATACACTGACATTAGTCAATTCCCCCAAAAAATCAAATACCAGTACAAAAGCTAAATCAGAACATAAAGCATCCTCTCCCACCTCCCCTAAATTACCAGGAATTATTTTTGATAATAAATTTGAGGCGAGATCATGTAAAGCCGAATACAAGTCCAAAAGACCATACCAAAGAAGCATGTCTTACGAATCTAATGTATAAATGGTAGCATATTTTTATGGCAAATGTAATATACATGTATACCATGATGATATATTTTGAAAAGAGTTGTGACACAAACTGTATGCAAAATGCATGCCTTTTATTTATTTAGTCTTTGTATTACCATGGTTCTATTTTTCCAACCCAAACATCTTCAATACCAGTTATTTATCCTATCTATATATATACATTAATGACATGTAAGTATTTAGTATTTATGTGTGTTTTTTTAAACAAGGTCGATTACTAGTAGTTAAAGATATATTTCCTTCAAAGTCCAGAATTACTAATAATTAGAAAATTTATTCATGACTACAGAAATTTTGGGGGGGTTTCCAAAAACATTAGATATGTTGGGGTAGTAGTCTAGCAGTATGGGCATTGGCCCCTGGGCTAGAATGTTTCGGATTCAAAATCTGGTTCCTACTATTCAGGGGTAGTGCTTACAGTGTTGCTTAGTCATTTGGACAGGACAAAAATAAAAACGATGTCCGCACATGTTCGCATTGATATGCACATAAAAGAACCCATGACATTTGGAATTCGCTGAAGAGTAGCAGGAAATGCTGCCATTTGAATAAAATTCGCTTGCCTAGCATTGCACACTTGACCATAGAAAAAAACTGACTATATTTTAGTCTCAAAGTGAGAAAAGTATTTTGTTGACTAGGAGTTCAAACCTCTTCCATACATTTTAGATAATAATTTTAAGACGGCAAGTGAATGAGCACACTAGCAAGAAAACAAACATGCATCACTAGGTAACAATGGAGGATTTTGTGGACTGAATAGTCATAGATAACCAAATTATTCTTAAGGAAATTTATCTTTAATCTGTTATGATTGTTGTACAATAGATGATGAATAAGGAGGAAATAAATTTAAAATCAAACGAGAAATATCAATTGCCTTATTCACATGATTCATGACACAGGTCAAACAGTGTTATATTTTAAATATTTATCATTATTTAATCAACATGTAGTGCAACTTGGCCTGTGAAAAACAATATGTGACATGAAATTGGTGCAACATGATGCAGATCTTAGAATTTTGACATATTGTACATGTATGTTTGAAGTTAATTAATTTATGAGAGACTAATATATTGCCAGTTAATGGAGAACTGAATCTTAACAGAAATAGTGCAACTTGGCCTATGAAAAACATTATCTGACATGAAAATGGTGCAGCTTTATTCAAATCTTTAAATTCTAATATATTGTATGCTGAAGTATAAAATATAATTTATATATCCATTATTTCATGGGTATTTGCAATGGAGGACATCAAGTTTAAATATAAATATCAAAACCAAACATAAAAAAAGAACAATTGGTTATTTCTGTAAATGTTTTAAATATAGTTTAGTAGTAAGAATAGTGTTATAATAGTTGTTTTAGTAATATAGTAATATACCTTTCTTTAATTACCTGATTTTTTCATCTGGTTTAATTAGAGTATTAATAAATAAGTATATTTATTTGTATTAAAAGGATAAGTCAACAAAACACTTTATCTACTCAATAAATAACTAATGAATTAAATAAGGAAATGTTATTATGAATAACGCAGTTAATGTTATATTATGTATAGTAACAATGCACCATTCAAATTAAAATGCTCATCTAGGTCAATATTAAACAGTAATTAGAACATGGAAATAGAAACAGTAGCTCACTTATAAACATTAGGTATATAACATCTTTAAAAGGCATTTAGTGAAAGTGATACATAATAACAGACAGCTTTATGAATAACATTCACTAGGTTTATTAACTACAACGTTTCAATCAGGATACTCTCACCGTTATCAAGCAATGATACAATGTCTGTTATTATTAGATATATATTAGAGATAAGTGATATTAGAATAATACCTAGAAAGACATTTATTGATTAAACATTGGGTTGATTCAGGTTGTTTACAACATTCTCTAGGCAGTGGAGAAAGAACAGAATCCTACCATTGTCTGGAAATCTGATGGAACAGATAATATGCATTTCAATGAGTTCAAAACATAGTCAATTTATAGCCAGTATTATACAAGCTATCTATCCCAGTCACCACATTGCGGGTGCATGCAATTTTTCATTTGCTCATCTACTTTAAGAATTTTGTAAAAAAATATGTCCTTGTATTTAAATTGTACAAACAATTGTTCAGTCAATTTCGCACAGGAGTTAAAAATGGAGTCTGTGTATATATTTCTTTAGAGAGTAGGTCAGGAACTACCAGGATTTGGAATCCAAATAGTTATACAGTGTCAAGAAATTTGAATTTAATAGCATCATGGACATATGGAATCTTTCATGGTGTAAATATCAAGAAACATAATTTCAGAGATTTAAACCTCCGATTTCATTTCAGCTCTACAAATCTTAAACATACATTATGCAAGAGCTAAACCAGACTATTGCAGGTCTTTCTTTACAGCCTGAAATGTTTCTAAGTTATTAATTAGTTATTAATTAACTGATCCAGGTCATAATCAACTCTCGATGGCATCGGATTTCTCCAATATTAAATAGATTAGAACGGTTCTGCCATATTTTAATTTATTTTAAAAATGTAGAAGCGAGGATTAGCTTCCAAGTTTAATATCTTCGCTCGCTATAGAGTAATTATATATTTTCGAACTATTATAGCAAGAATGACTAGCTCTTACATAATGTATCTTTAAGGTGGGTGGTATTAATGTCTGTATCCATAAATCTTATAAAAAGGTTGCTTTGTGTGTTGTCAGATATATAACGGGTGTACTTGGTTAGACAACCTGGAAATAGTCATTTTAGATGTACCCACAAAATGTCAGGCATAAATGAAGATGCAGCTAACTGTATGCACTTTGTGCTAGACGTTTTAAAATATGGATAAAAGAGGAGTGGTGTCCGACAAAGTCTGTATTTGTGCCTGACATTGTCTGTGACAGGTGCCTTATTTCCAGGCTTGTAAAATGGTTAGACGTGGGATATGGAATTCTCAATAAGATTGGATTCTCTTCTACTTAAAACTGTATATAAAAGTTTCAGCATTGATTTAATAGAAAAGAATTATCAGACTTTCATTTATTGAAGAGAAAAACTTGACATTTTCCTATAGGTTGTTTGTGTTCTATCTGTAAAATATTTATTATACATACATGTAGATATATTATATGTAATGTGTAGATGTTAAAATAATTCTATAAAATCATTTGAAAATCATGTATGTCTTAATTAATTTGAAAATGATTGTATATCTTATGCCTAGCGATAGACCTATTCAGTGAGTGATAATAATCCGAGATTACCACGCAAAAATGGGATATTCGGACAAATACTGCGGTATCTGTATTGAAACCCAAATTTCTTGAATGATTGGAGGACCAGTGAGTAAGGCTGACTCACTAATCATCCCGGTGTTGGCTGAGAAAGTTCATCGTGTTGGCTGTTGGCTGAGAAAGTTCATCGGGGCCCTGATTCAGGAAATCTTAACTAAAGATAAAATCCAAATTTTAGTAGATACTTCAGTTTTGATTGGCTAAGCACTAAAATCAATCTAATATTATTCAATCAAATAACTAAAATTTTGATTTTATCTTAGATAAAATTTCGTGAATAAGGTCCCAGACCCCTTTAGGACTTTTTAAAACCCAGTTCTTAATTAATTAATTGCTGTCGACCCGATATCGAAAGTCCACTGGTCTATTGGTTGCTGTAAACCTTAAAGAACCGGATAGAAGTTGGAAACGTCGTTGACCAGGAAATATTTCCGTTGTCATAATAGCACGGTTGGTTCACAAAAATGATAGTTAGAAATAAACCCTATTGCATTTCACGCTCGTTAAATATAGCTCCTATATCTAGTAGAATACATAATAAAACAAATAAAACAAAACCTATTTTATTATGGTTATATATTTATATCATATCAAAATAAATACACAATAAAATACAGACACGTATATAATACATATAATATATATAAAGAATAATAATATATGGTTTTGTCATGTACCGTACTGAAATAACTGATGTCAAATTTAAAGGTCACATTCTCCGAACGTTTGCGCCGGCGCTGTCACAATAACCGATTGGATAGTAAATAAAATATTTTTAGAGTCAAGTGATGGTAAAAATGGATGTATTATGGGTATTCTATAACGACAAAAACAGGGGTTGATATTTTCAAAGTCCACTATTCCTCTTCTGTTGACTTCACAATCAGTACCATCATTAGCACAACTGATACCTCTCATATCGGTATATAAAGTTTTTCGACATATACAATATGGTTGACTGTTATAACTGTTTTGCGTTTTCCAATAGGGATCACAATTTCCCATATCATAATTACACTGATGAAATTTTCTACAACTCTGTTTTTCGGTCTGTGCTAAATCTTCACATTTTCTGAAATAGAAATGGTCAAATATGAAAGGTTACCCAGGGGCGAATTAAAACCTTTGGCATCCGAAATCACCGTACCATGCTGGGACTTTCAATTAAAGAAGGAGTGCCGAGCGGAGCGAAGAGTAGGGTATTCTAATGGGGTGAGAGGGTATGCAAGATTTCCAAAATTCATTTCGGGACTAACATGGTATAATTGTGTGTCACTAATATCTTGTGCGTAGATCGATGTCTTTAGAATTGGGAGTTATCAGGTTAGGACGGAAGATGACTCTACGCCTTTCACGTACATGTTTTGGATCATAGGCGTACGAGTAACTGTCGGGCAATCTGACTTTTACGGTCAGACGGTTAAAGTGAAAAAGAAAAATTAATATATCGTCAGGTTGGCCAAATAAAGTGCCCAAAATCTAATAAAACACTAAATTGCACTGAATTGACTATGAATTAGAACATTTTGTCTGGAGCCGTCTGGCGCGGCCGTCTGTAAAGGGGAATTTTTTCGGGCAATTTAGGTATTTAGGTCTGCCCCCCCCCCCAACATTTATCAGACCAGGCCCGTATCACAATCGTTAGACCACTCACAAAATGGGTAAATCGTCAATTCTAGTTTTTTTATGGATATCAGCAGAATCAATATCAGTACCTAATATTAATCACATAATAAGAATGGCGAGCATCTTGATAAGATCCTAGAGTATTATATCAGATATTTATATGAGAAAAAGTGATACGTGACCTATATGGGAAATCTGATTGATCAAGATCAATCATGCAGATGTGTGGTGTCCTGGCAGACTTGTTAAATGCCCCACAGATTACGCGACGGGAAAAGGGTCGGGAACTCCCACCCTATATGATAAATTCTGTACTTACGGACATGATAATGAACATGTTGAAGAATTATTTATATCTACACTAGACGACGATGATTCACAATTTGAAGCTGGAAAGCAAAAAAAGAAAAGAAAGTATTAATCAAGGTAATCATGACTTGAATTTGACCGTCTTATAATGTCTAAAAGTGAAAATCAACAGGGAATCCATTACAATGAGCAGCGATATGTTCTAACTTCAATTATTCGATCATTTTCAGACTTCCATTCTGTAGTTTATTATTTCTAAGGTTACGTATAATAATGCGAAGTGTTTAATTGTCTTCAAATCCCCCTTCCCAAGGGATCGGTTTTTTCTAAATGGGACCTTGGATTTCCGTATCACCGAACGATTTTATGTCAGGACACGCGCCTGCATGTGTAATAAAGGAGCTTTACAACTCTCTCATAGACAGGTTTCTTATTTCAATTTTCAAACCATTTTGCTAAAACAGGAAGTACTTACATTTGTCTTTCCATTTCAACATAGTGTCACTAGGAATATCACTACATGATCCATTTAAAACTGAAGTTATGGTTGGTGGCACAGTGAACACATTTCCAACATCATCAACATTTAAAGTTGTTGTTCGTCCATTACCAGGAACAGTATGTTCTCCACTCGTCTACAATCAATAAATAATTAATATGATTAGTTTATTCTTCATCTAGATATAATTATTGTTGTAAATCTGGTTCGATAACTGAAATCGGAATAGTCGACATCATAATGAAATAAGGTTTAACGTCCTACTTTTATGGAATTGAAATGGAATGGGGTTTAACGTCCTACTGTTCTGCTCCGACTGGGCCAATGAAGACGGGCATACACCACGCGGTGTGCTATGAGGGAAATGTTGCCCGAACTGCGGCGCTATGGCCTACTCTTACTTCGAATTCCAACTGTCAAGGGTTCTTTTACGTGCACGCCAATCGGTTTTTCGTCCCATCCGATTACGGTAAACAACTTGACAAGTTGTAAATAACGGTCGATATATACTTAAAGTGACAATGACTATATGCAAGTAAGAAAAAATATCGTTATTAATCAGTTTTTAACCATACTAACTGTTGAATATGCATATTATTATTAATTTAGAAATTATAACAATCTTAGCTCTGGTAGTTGCCATATTCTCTAATGGTGCTTATTGTATATCTCTTTATAAATGCCACTTACGGTAAACAAACGGTATTTGGTTGATTAAAAAATCAGATTTTTCAGACATTGTATTTGAAAAATGTGTGAGATTCGATAAATTTGTAAAGAACTATAATATTGTATTTCAAATCGATGGAAAGACAAGATGTTGCTGGACTTTTTTTTACACAGAATGTTGTTATCTTAGCACCAAACACTCATATTTCTGTAAATGAACACTAAGCCTATCTGTAGAAAGAATAGACCATACTATCCAGCCAAATTAAATAACGTGTTTTACATAAGTAGTTTCGAGTTTGATTTTAGGTAGCTATCATCACATTAATATTCTATAATATAAAGGATGTGTAATATGCATTCACAGAACACATTTTTTATCGGAAACAATGCCATCTTATCGTTATCAAGCACATATAGTAATTTGAGGTCAATATGATATTCATGGTGAATAACACCAGTGATTGTTTCCCATAAAAAAAAATCCTGTCAATATTTTCCCCAATCGCTAAATGTCACTAAAAGATTAAATAATGCATTCGTGTTTTTACAGTTGATAAAAATTGTGACTTGATTGCTTAACCAGGCGTGTAACGTGATCCTATATTAGCTGTTGTTGTTTGCCAACGGTTACATGTTTGCGTCGAAAGTTATTCGGTGGCTAAAAATTATACTTACTAAAGCACTTGATTCGAGGAAGGTGCCCGTAAAATCACTGCCAAATCTAGACTCATGACAAAACAACATAGTTGTTTCTTTCAGAATACCATCCACGTTTTCCTTTCTCATACCAATATAAACATTCGCTTTCTGAAAAATAATTATTATTTTATGAAATGATAGTTATTTTTTGTTGTAATACTAATAGTTTACAAATTAATTTCCGTTTTCAAACGTTTTCTTACAGAATCAATAGATATTATCAAAACTAAAACCCAGTTTCCCACTCAATCGATCAATATGCTTCGTTTAATGAAGGTTGGATTGTGTTCAGTCACCAGGATCTAATGAAGAGAGAGAGAGAGAGGGGGGGGGGAGAGAGAGGGAGAGTTTAACGTCCACTCGACACAAACTAGGTCATTTCGGGACTATTGTATGGTTCAATTTTATTTCAATAATTCGCTTGCGCGTAGGGGTGTTTAGCAGTGGGGGGAAATCGGAGGGCCCGGAGACAACCCACGAGGTTGGACAGGCGACCCTACTCCTCGCGTACAACCGGGGAATCGAAAACACGCCAGTTGACTCAATGCCAGATTTTATGATGCAGCGCGCACGCGCTAACCATTCGGCCAACCACCCCCCACCCCCTGCAGGATCTGATAATAATTTGGTTTTATGTAGCGACACTATTTGGGAGATACAACAAGAATAATATTAGTAATGGATAGTATCGCGTTTATTTTGAATTATATGTTATGACAGTACCATCATCAGCTCAGTGCTTAGAACCTCTAACGATCTAAACCAGGCGTGTCAAACATGCGGCCCGCGGGCCAGATCCGACCTGCCAGGGGCTTAAATGTGGACTGTGGAAACAATTTCAACAAATTGGCGTGTCGATAATTCTTAGAAACCAGCGGAGGAAATCATGTATTATTGTTTTCCGGTTTCAGTAAAACTCTTGACTTCTGTATTGTTTGTCACAGATATCTAAGTTGTATGTAACACACGCGTTGTGTTCAATATTATAACTAGACAATTAGGAAACCAGTCTCAAAAATTACACGTGTTAAGGACGTTTGGCTTTGTTTTTTTTAGAATCCTATAAAGTTCAAGGACGATTGGCTTTGTGTTTAGAATTTTTGTATATCTCTGGTCCCTGAATCGAAATGAGTTTGACACCCTGATCTAAACCCTGTTGACACATATATAGAACGTATAGTTACAGAAAAGACTACAATTACCATCACCGCTCAATAAGGTATAAATACATACGGTATAAGGTGCTACTCTCAGTTAAACATATATTATGCAAGAGCTAAATCTGCCTATTGTAGGTCTTTCTTTAGGCCTGAAATGTTATCTAAATTATTAATTAGACATTAATTAACTTATCCAGACCATAATCAACTCTCGAGGTCATCGCTAGCCTGCGATATTTAGATTACGATCCGATTTGCTGCTCAACTTTCGTTCATGATTTAATCATGAAATGGATAATCGAGACTATGTTTTTTATCGTACCGACTTTAGTTATGATGATCGAGGCTAGGCCGAAATTTCAATCGCTAAATTCTCGGTTCAGAATGGATCAATATGACTGAAATTTTCAACAAATTGTGTTTACATTATCTAGTTTTTAACTATTATAGTGAGAGCTGTCAACTCTTTACCTAATCTATCATAATGTAGGTATCCTTAATAAAGTAACAAACCGACGCCATCAACAGATCATTTAATTGCGGACGTTGCTGTAATAAATAAACGTTAATCATCTTGGATACCACTAAATTACCTGTTTAAAGTTAACAACCACATACACAGTTTTATATTGTTCATCTATCTGCATTAAGTAAATTTGGTTAGTGTCTTCTACAGCTAATATTTCATGGAACGTTGGGTTATCTTTTGATCCCATCCGTAGTAAAAATTGATTTGGTATATCCACTTCCACTATTGTTGGTGGTGACGATGTTCTCTAAAATTGTAAATGAGAATTAAAGACCATATGAAATATGAAAGTGACCATTTGTTTAAACATGGTCATTTGTGTACGTGCAGTGGTGTGACGATTTGTGTAAATCTGGGGTTACGATTTTGTACATCTGGTCATTTCTGTACATCTGTTGTGACGATGTGTGTAAATCTGGTGTGACGATTTGATTAAATTTGATGTTACGATTTGATTAAATCTGGTGTGACGATTTGTCGACTGTCGAGATCGTAACTTGTTACAAACAAAAGATTATTTGTTACAAACTAAAGAAAGAAGTCGGTAGATTAAAGCAATGTTGAGATATAACCGGCATATATTTTGTCATCAATTGCCGACAATATTTATGAATAAAACGGTATTTATATTTTATTGTATTTTTGGACAGAGATTTCTGAAGCGTTTAATATACAATTCATGAAACAATCAGTTACAACAAATGCAATGCCAATTTAAATTACCCCCTCCCTCCCCCTGCTACTAAAATCCATAATGTCTAGTTATGTGTAACCCAAATTGCCTCTCATAGAACAACATTAGGGTATTAAAGTTTACTTTCCTGACGCTACACATACATAATTAACCTACATTACAAATAGATACTCTTTCTTGTAGGCCTATAACTCGCAATACAAAATTTCAGTAGGCTAAACACCTCCTCGTACACCACAAGCCTTGGGTCAACAGAGATTTCGCGCCTTTCTGAGCATTTATCTCGCCTTTAGTGCGATTCTCTTTGATATCAGCAGCGAGAATAAATTGTTACCCGGTGTTTAACAAGGATCGATTCTTTCACCCTCACTGTTTACAGTATATCTTTTCTTAAACTGTTTTAGGCGAATATGAACCAATTTCAGGTAAACTGCTTATTCATAATCTTGTGATAATATATATCTAGCGAGAGTTGCACATAAACTCCAAATTAAACATTGATAATGGTTTAAAGATGTTTAAAAACATCACACAGATGACAGATTGAGAATTTAAAACATTTTAATGTCATCTAGACTTAACATCTTCAAATGTTCTACTTGTCCAAAATAAAACTGCCCTGTGAAGTCAGCTCTGAATAACGATGTTGCTGTCCGTCTTGCAATATTTTAAATGTACAAATTTGGATAAAGTCTGGAATTAACAATAGGGGCATCACATTCAAGAAATTAATTTTTATTTATCAAGTCCCAATTGACCAAAGAGAACCGTACTCTAGGGATAAATTAACCCTCGTTAAGACGTATGATACGCCTTTCTTTTATATTCTGGAAAACAAAATATTGCCCCACCAGAAATATTTCCTGAAACTCGTTGATCCGATTATCCTGTAAGTTATCTACTATGGAATTCGCTCATCCACCCAACTCAAACCTCATTCTACATTTTTGACATTTAAACAAACCACTGAACTTTAAAAACAAACATAACGGTAATTTTGTTGTAAATGTTGTTTGTTTTCAATCATGGTGAACACCTTTCAAACTCATTTTTTACTTGTTGTATCGTTATGTGACAAGAGTTTCTCGTATTTACTTACTAGCTAATTATTATGTACGCTTTTCCTTACAACCCTTTGTCAAATGTTTAGATTTTAAATTCCTAGGGTTGATTTCTTTTAGAGACACACAAGGTATCAGGTGTATAAGAACAGTTTAACCTAATTCAAATTGCGCAATCTTTTACTCATACTCTGTCATTTTAGCGCCTAAACTTCATTAAGTGATTTAAAATAAGACCACAGTAATCCAACAGAACGCGCAAAATATACAATTAGCTCCCGCGCAAAAACAGTCCTGCCAAACGAACCAAGCATTAACACCTCTAATTCATAACTATTCATCACGGACCCAATGAAAAATCCCACCAAACATTCTAAAAGGATTCAAAATTTAAATTATTAACTGGGAGGTAACTTGCCTTCTAAAATAACTACATGTAATTTTCACAGGTGTCTTTGGTCATGTGTTTTAGAGTTTTTCACGCTAACCCACCACCCTATTGCTCTGTCTATGCCAAGTTCTCACTGTCGTGCAATGCGTTACGATCAGATTGTCCTTATTGGGTCCACGATTTGGTACGTGCAGATACGTTCGAATACGTTTCGTTACCATCAACACGATTGCTACGACTGACCTTAATATTATGATAAGACCTGATAGGATCACCGCGATTACTCCACGATTAAAACCACGATTTCAATCGTAGCGCGAATCGTGATAGATTGTCATTTCTAGTTTCTGTAGAACTATACTTCATAAATTGTAAATTATTCTGTCTAACTTTATGTTGTGCGTGCTGAAAAAAATATATACATGTATTCTAAATATGTGGCCAACTCGAACAACAGAACCACGCTACCTGCAGAGAAGGATAATTTCGAGCGATAGTTTCGTATGAGATATGACCATTATTACATAAGACATGGCTACAGACCATTATCAAAATCAGACATTCTTTGATATGGTCACAAATTAAAAGGTAGTGGGAATGACATCAAATATCGTAGTTAAATAGCCACCTCGAATAATAATTAATGATACTTGACTGGTAGCAATTAACAGAAATGAAATGGGGTTTAACGTCCTACTGTTCTGCTCCGAACTGGGCTAATGAAGACGGGCATACGCCATACAGTGTGCTATGAGGGAAATTTTGCCCGGGCAGCGACACTATCGTCTACTCTTATATCGAATTCCAATTGCCAAGGGATCTTTTACGTGCATTCCAATGTATACACGGGACCTCGCCACTTCGGTTTTTCGTCTCATACGAAGGACTAGACAGCTGTCCTTATCAGGCCGTCCGTTCTGCACCACTGACAAGGGGAAACCGCGTCGGAAAATCTGGATGAAATTTCTCGGCCAATGCAGGGATCGAACACCTGACCTCCAGGCTAGAGAGCCAGCTTCTTAACCACCTAGCCACCGTGGCTCCCTAGCAATTAACCGTAAATGGTCCTTATCTGAATAAGTATGTGTAAGACTGTTATGCTAGGTTCCCACTGCCGTGCGGTGCGTTACGAGAGGATTGTCCCTATTGAGTCCACGATCTGGTACGTGCAGATACGTTTGGATACGTTTCGATACCATCAACACGATTGCCACGATTGACCTCAATATATGATAACCCGAGAAAAAGAAAAACCGAGGCCGGCAGGCCGAGGATTTTCTGTCGAGGGTTTTTTCTGAAGTCTTTCTTCCCCAGCATAACCGAAGTCAAGGACTTTATCTTGCTTATAAACCGTCTATGTTTACATGTACGCAAGATGAGAATTCCCGTAAGAAAAACCTTATATCATGTTTTCTTATGGAAAAAACCCCCACTACCCTGGAAGAATAACCCGGTACAGGTTTAAAGAAAAACTTTCAGAAGAATAACCCCAAATTTCCCTGTATATATCCAAAGCCGCCCCGACCGCAAGTTATTCCGGGCATAGAATATACCCCAAAGATCAAAGAGATTTACCGTTACAGGTTTATAAGATCTGATAGAATCACCACGATTACTTCACGATTAAAACCACGATTTCAATCGTAGCGCGAATCGTGATATTGGTAACATTTAGAGCATCACTATATATACTCACAATTTTAACATTAGGGGCTACCAAATAATGTCGTTTCCTTATCAAAATTAAAGAGAGTGGGATGTTGATCTTGGAAGTTCATATACCTATTAAATTTGTATCCTTACCTCTATGGCATTATTTTTATTAGGCACGACTTCATCAGCTGGGCTATCAGATGATACTTGGACGGCTACGATAATTATTATAAGTAAGACAATAACACTGGCAACTCCAATAGCTACTTTTATACAACATTTCTTTTCATATTTCTTCTTCACGATGTCACGTAATCCATTTATTTTATCCATTATGGCGACTTGATGTAAGCTTTCTTTAAGTTTGAGACAGAAACAAACACATAATGCGTTAGCTGCTACATCCGTAACTAAACATTTGCTGAAATGGAATTTGTAAAACTGTTCTCAGTTATTTAATAGACATAATTTAAAACGGGAAAACAAATTTTCACACTTTTGAATATTAACCGTTTTACTATCTTTCGTCGAACGAACGTTATCAATTCGTCTGTGATTTGCCCGAAATTTACGCGTGCCAACTTACCCCGGTTGGGTGTGTTTGTTTTTGATGATCACTCCTAAAGACCGAACAAATATTTAACCATGTCACGTTTCAGTGAGTAAACTTGTGTCAGTAGGAGCATCGTGCACAGTGAAGTGAGCTACAGAATAGATCAAAGTTCCTTTAGCTTTCACCTTTTAACTGTCACCATACAGGAATTCTATTAACCTTCTTAATAATAGAGGCCAAAAACTGTTATAGTTTTTAGTAGTTGGTATATTCATTAGTTCTGAAAGGGAAGAACATCAATAAATTTTATTTTTTATCAGAAAAAAAAAAATCAATTACAAAATCTTTTTGTAAAAAACCCCCCAAAAACTCAGATTGTCTATTCTTGTCTTTGGGTGTTCAGAATGAAAGTTTGTTTGTTTTGTCAGGGTAGTGTTGTTATATTGATTTTGTGACTAGATTCTATGTTATATTGTTATATAACAAATGCCATCTGGTACAAGTATTATTTTGGGGATTGGCGCATGGTTGCAATAGTATTGTTCTGCCTAGGATATCGGACTCACCACAATATCAAATCCGTGTGTCGAATGGTTCTGGGGTCCCACGCATAAAATGATCGTGTAGATAACTGATATCTTGATAGTTGGAATTCAAAGTAAGGTATGGGGAAACATTCTCACCCATACAGTGCGTGTTTGGGCTTATACCAAAAGTAGACCAGCTCAGACTTACCCGAAGTGACCACGACATGGCGTTACGAAGAAGCCACTCATTCGTTTTCAGTTGTTTTATGTCATTCATACGGACATTTATTTAAATCTCTTTAAAATTTACTTGTGAGCTTCTTATGTATGAGTTTGCCTCATTCAATTACAGGACGTGATGGATTTACAGTTTGTTCCGATCTTCTAAATAAATAAGGGTGGTTAAATGATCGGCCATATTTGTTCAGATGCTGTCATGCTTCTGGCATGAATTTGAAGAATGACCAATAGATTTTAACCTAAGACAAAACTTGTGGGGCGATTATTTAAAAGTACAAAACGTTTAGTTTCTGGCCTCAATCCACCAACGGGCCAATTCGTACTCATAACTAATCAAGTTGGGTCTTTAAAATTACTTTGTGATCGAGATGGGGGTTAAGTGTTTTTGTTAAAAGTATTTCTGTCTTCTTTGGCGCCCACCGCAGGGTTTGTGCTGAATTGTAGCTGAATGATCTGAAGGTTTAATGGCTTGAAGGCATATTGTAGCACTATTAAAATAACAATATATTTAATAACTAAACTATTTTGGTAATGCCCGGTGGACTAGGAAACTGGATAAAACAAAATACTACCGGAAAATAATAAATTATTAAATGGGTCGATCTAGTAGGCGAATGATGTCCAGGCTGGTTTTAAGGCCCAGTTGCTACTGATACCCCGTGGTCGCAATTATCTCATAATTTTCAAACACAGTTGTGGCACGGTTTGACTCGGTATCCAAGTTAGGTCGTGTCCTTGTTTAAGGTGCGCAAGTCAGACTGGATTAATTTATATTGCTTCACTTTTATGCCCATTGTCTTTAGAAACACTTCATTAGAGAAGTGCGTATGAACATTACATTTGTTTCAAATAAAGTGGGCGTAAGAGTCAAATTCCTAATAAATGACTGATCCCTTTTGTTTTTATTCTGAATTTTCAGCACATGCGCTAAAAATGTGACAACCTTGTTGTGTTCGACCATGTTTGATAAAAACGAATATGTACCACATATTTACCCTTTTCTGTTAAATTTGTAATCCAAGCCGTAACTGATGCTGTACAAGATGAATACAAGATGAGATATTCTGGCACGAAGCAGGTGTAAATAAAGATGTCCAGATTTGGATACCAATCTATCGAACGGACCCTAATTTTTCATATTCATATTCAACTGAGTCCGTGTTTACAAACACAAGAGACGAGGAACCTTCCAGAATTATATTAAATGTATGAAAATTTCTCGAGAATGCCAGATCATAAATTGGGTGGGTTTTGTTTTCGTAATTTTGAGCAATATGCCCATGCCCAGATTGTAACTAAACTGTAATTTCCTGCTCGCACGTTAACAAAACATAAAAAGCGGTAGGGAAATGCCGTTTGTTCATCACTTTCTTATCCGTATACTTGTTCTTTTAAGGCGGGCCTGTGATAAACAATATGATTCACACCACATTTAAAGCCGCAATACACCAGTAGGCCAATAACTATTTTCCTTTTTTAAATTGAACAAAAATAAAGTCTTAAAATTGATCTTTAGCTAGTAAATTAGACGATTAAAACAAAAAGCCTAGGTTAGATACATGTAGCATCTTAAGCTATAAGTTCGGACAGAAATAAGTTAAGCTTCCTTTGTTGACTGACGTGTCTAAGATGGACAACATGACGGTGTGAAATTAATAGAAAGTAACCATAACTCAACAGAATATTACAGATTTAAATAATATAAGATTAATTTTTAAATTAACCCCCGTTCATAAATCGTTGTATGAAAAGGAGCCGTTGTGGCTCAGTGAGAAAGACGCTAGCTCGCTAACCAGGAGGTATCGGATTCATTGCCGGTGTTAGTGGTGCAGGGCTGTGGGCCTGACAAGGATAAATGTCTACTCTTTCGGATGGGACGATAAATGGAGGTGCCGTGTACACACTGGGGTGTACGTAAAACAATCTTTGACAGTTGGAATTCGAAATAAGAGTAGGGCGTGGTGCCAATGTCAAAACAAAATTTCCCTCATAGCATACTGTATGGCGTATACCCGTCTTCATTAGCACAGCCGGAGCACAACGGTAGGACATTAAATATATTTCATTTATTTCTATATAAAAAAAACATTCTGACCTCAATCTGATACTATGATAAAGTTTCCATTTAGTTACTTGAAATTTCAACTTAAAGGAGCTAAATCGCTAATATTTTGGACCTAGAAATTGGCACAAATGGGTCGCAACACATAATTATGTAATATGAATTTATATAAACTGTTTTACATTCAATCGTGTCCGTTTTACTGTGAATTGGCATCAGTTATGTTCGGCGAAATACGCAAGAAGTCTCAACCGCAAGTCAGTTTCTAGCGTCTGGTTATTCCAGTCAACACCGATATTATTTATTGCGCGTGCTCTCCAAATAAGAACATGATATCACCGTTTGACATGACTTGTGGAATATGTCTAGCCCCATTCTTTGAGCACCTTGTTACAAATGGCGCTGAAACGCATTATGGTACACGATTCGTGTACCAATGGTAAAATGTTTATTTTGTCTTAAATATTGGATATCAGAAGCCCATCTTTTCCAGGTAAGATCACAACACCAATGCTGATTTCAATTGCAAAAAAATTCGTGTTTTCAATGTCGAAGATTTTGGATGATATTGAGTTACGGACCTAGCTACTTTAATCACTTAAAATTTCCACTTAGTCACTTGAAATTTTAATTGAGTGACTAGTAAGTTGAAATTTTAGGTAAAAAAAATAACATGGCCTTATTTAGCTTCCGTATTAATTTGATGAATCGAGGAAAGTTTGATTTTTATATTTTATCAATGTGGACTATGTGAACTGTAAAAACAGATACAAATATATAGGTGTTGAACTACCTTACCTCTTGGTTGAAAAGCCTATGTAGATTTTTCTCTTCAAAGTCGCTCATATTATCTACTTTGAATCTTAACTGTCATGGACAGTGACAATGGAGAGCCTTGTCTTATTTTCTATCATTCAAGCGGGTATAGTTAACATCAGTCACATTTTTTAGAAAGTATTGCGGGGATGGCTGATTATTCTGGCACGATCCCCATTCACACTGTACATTGTCTTTTATCTGTGGGTCTGTATTCACTTCACTTGCCAAACATATTTTTACACATGTATTACCGGCCAAGAAACAATGGATGAGGCGAAGTCCCCACCCCCACTCCCCTTAGAAAATAATAAAACAAAACATAATCCCATTTGCCATATTGTTTTAACCATTATTAATGGACATATTTTAAAAACGGTAAATTATAGAAGTTTGTATTCCTTGATTCTACCATAATTGTCGGGTGCAAACACAAAATTCATTTTGTTTTGGGTTATAATTATTGAATTGGCAACGTGATGTACAGCAGACAGCTAACAATTTTTACTATTTAAATCTAACATTAAGAAGAGGTGAAGAGAGCGTGTTATCCAGACTGAGAGGGGGCCACGGTGGTTCAGTGAGTAATCGTGTTCGATCCCGGTATTGACCGAGAAAGTTCATCGGGATATTTCGACGTGGTTGTCCTTTTCAGTGCTGCGGGACAGAGGACCTGGCAAGAGCAGACAGCATATAGTCGTTCGGGTGGGATGAAATACCGAGATACCGTGTACAAATTCGTGTACACAAAAATGATCCCATTGCAGTTGGAATTCGATATAAGAGTAGGCAGTAGCGCCACTGCCCGGATACATTGTATGTCCGGGCAGAACAGCAGGACGTTAAACCCCATTTCATTTTTATTTCCTAAGATTAAGCCACAAAGCAGGCTAGATAATGCCCAGAACTTGACGAAAATTTCAAAATGGACACAACTATCGTTAGGTGTGATCAATTTGATTTTTTGCACTAATATATTTGATTTAAAAAGTCTTACATGGTGTTAAACTCCCTTTTCTTGCTTGGTGTACTGGTTCAACCACTTTGATAGTATGCTGCTCGCCTCTTAAAATTCACTATAATTACGAAATATCTCACCTTTATTTCGCCTTTTAAGCTTTTTTTTTACATCGGTTGTCAACGATTCAACACCTTAATTTGGAATGCGGCGCAAGTAACAATCATCCATAAAGGCGAAGGAGAGATGCGATGTTCGGGATTAAACGCATGTATTGTATCTGTAGAGACAAGTAATGATTGAAATGGTTTTATTTTCAGAGTTTTTCTTTCAGCAATAAAAATGTCCGATTCTTTACCGTATTTTTTAATGGCCACATTGCTGGCAGCCTGGTGAAAGTAAAAACGACCAGCTAATGTTTTTGTAATTTTTTCCAAACCTTCAGATTCTCAGGTTTCTGAAAGTTTTCACACGGAAATACCCCAAAGTACACACGTATCTCAAGCTTGATCTTTGGCCATTCCTAGAGACATCACTGGCATACGATATTTGCTGTGCCTTTTGTTTTGGAAACAAAACCACACAGAAAGACCGTTGTGCGTATTTAAAAGAGCAAACTGTTGATCAATATATGTACTTTAACTCGCAGGAAGGTTATACGTGTGAAAATTATAAAACACACGAAAATAAGCAGGACAGCGGACATTCATGACATAAGACACATGTAAGAGTTGGGCATTTCTGATTAACTTTTGGTATTATGGCTGCCAATCTGCCGTGCACGTTATCAATTAACGTTGCCATCAATGACTTAGTGGAGTCGCATTTGCCAAATTCGTGTCATGTTCGAATTTTATCCATAGTGATGCCAACTCTTGAAATTATCTATAATACAGGAAAACTGCAGGTTAATACAGATAAAATAACTGATACAGTGGGCCTACTATTACTAGACCTACTGTCAAGTTCGCTGTCCACATTTAATCAATAATGGAGAAACAGAAATTTTTTGAAGACATAAATATTCAGAATTAGAATGAATAAGAAACCAATTTGTTTTTTTTTTATATAAATTTTATTTCATATATAATTGACTATGACACTGTTGATAATTGATGAATAAATTACATAATAATTTTACAAAAAGATAAATCCCTCGCTCCTCAAATTCTTGAGCATTAACAAAATACTGTACAAAAAGCTGTGTGCCAAATCAGAGATTACTAATCTTGGTCCAATATACATCTACAAGACAAACATAAACATGTACTCAATATTTTGTGAGATTCTACATACAGTGAACCTGTACTGCTGTTTTCACATTCCAGAAGCCGTGGTTACAAGTGTTAGCAGTAACAAGACAATGAGGGGTATATATTTGTTAGGATGGGAGGGAAAATTGAGGTCCCATGTATACCACTGGCAGAATTTTAAAGATTCCAAAACGATGGAAATCGAAATAAGAGTAGGCTGTAGTGCTGTGGTCAGGGCACATTTCCCTCACTGCATGACATGACATATGCCGGTCTTCATTTTAAACCCATTTCATTTCATTAACAGTCAATAACCATTGCTACATTTACTATGCTATTGTGTGTTTACCAGTTAGTTTAGTTACTCTCAGCAACTAGCCTTAAGCTAAGACAAAAATCAACAACTTTCTGACTACATTTTAGAGACATAACAGTTATACATATGAAGTAAAAACAACAGATTGTGACTGTGAGGATTATGTTATGATAATGTGGCAATGGTTAATGAACTGTCAATGCTCACTACCACTAATTTAGGTACATCTGTTACACAGTCTCACAATTCATATTGACAGAGCTAATGAAGATAGAGCTTGTAAAGGAAATGAAATGGGGTTTAACATCCTACTGTTCTGCTCTGACCGGGCTAATGAAGACGGAAATACGTCATACATTGTGCTATGACTATGAGGGTCATTTTGCTCGGACAGCGGCACTACGGCCTACTCTTATATCGGATTCCAACTGCCAAAGGATCTTTTACGTGCACGCCAATGTGTACACTGGACCGCGGTTTTTCGTCTCATCTGCCACTAAACAGATGTCCATGTCAGATCCTCTGTCCTGCACCACTGAGAAGGGGAAACCACACTGGAAAATCCTGAAGAATTTTCTCAGCCATTTATTCATTAAATGACAGAATAAACTGTGAAATCATGTATTATTATTATTATTATTATTATAATAGATGTACATTAAGTTTAATAAAAAATTTATTTTGATAAGAAGAGAGCAGAGAGACCATCATTACTCCAGAATCCCCCCCCCCCCCCCCCCCGCTTTAAAAAGAAAATATATACATAGATAAGCATGCTTAACTTGTGATCATTCATAAATATATGTTTAAACAAGTAATAATATAATGCTTATTTAAAGATGAAATAACTGTTGTTTAATATAATCAACAATGTAACAATAATACGGCCATCTTGGGATTATGAATGAATAATAATCATTAATTCAGTCTTTTTCTTTTTATGAGCAAAACAGAACACAAAATGTGGGGACTACAGTAAAAACAAAAATATAACTACATGTATACAATATAATGTGATGCGGACTCTTAGACTGCTTTAGTAAAGCAATATCAATTTTATTTGATAGTGTATGTCTAGGAATTACTCCAGGGCTTCAATCAGGCTATGAATCAGTATTTGAAATGAAATGGAGTTTAACGTCCTACTTTTCTGCTCCTAACCTGGGCTAATGAAGACGGGCATACGCCATACAGTGTGCTATGAGGGAAATTTTGCCCGGACAGCGGCACTACGGCCTACTCTTATATCGAATTCCAACTGCCAAGGGATCTTTTACGTGCACGCCAATGTGTACACCGGACCTCGGTTTTTCGTCCCATCCGAACGACTAGACAGCTTTCCTTGTCAGCCCCTCCGTCCTGCATCACTGACAAGGGAGAACCACGCCGGAAAATCTGGATGGACTTTCTCGGCCAATGGAGGGATCGAACACCCGACCTCCAGGCTAGCGAGCTAGCGTCTTACCCACTTAGCCACGTGATCCCCGAATCAGTATTTGAAGAGATATTGTCTGGGTGAAGTGAATGCTAAATAAACACACATAAAAATGAGTACAGCAGGGTAGAGAATTTGCATTTGGGAGAAAATGGTTACGGTTAGCCTGGAATAGCAATGGGATGATTAATGAAGGATGTTAAACCCCATTTCATTTCTGCAGGGTCAAGAAAGGGGAGTTAACCTACAACTAGTTAAAACCATCCTAGTGTACATGTAGTGTATGAAAAATATCAAATCTCGCTACTGCTTGTGTGTCCTGGGGGAGTTTGATAAACCTATATATATATTAAGGGTGATTATACAAATCATACATAGGGATAGATTTTATATATGTATATGATAGCTGCAGCCTCGGGGGAATGGAAATATACATAATAATGTTATAAACAGCTCAAATAAAGATACATGTATATAAATCTATAAGACTTGATTTTATCATTTAAAAAAACAAAATGAAAAAGGTGAAAAAAATGTGATTGCTATAAAATAATGATACATTAAACAAAATTAATTACAAGAAAATAAAGAAGCATGTATTATTTGAGGTAATATCTACAATACAGAAGCATGATTGAGTATAATATGTGAGGTAATATTTACAATAAAGACTTAGAAAACACTGTTTAAATTTGGCAAAGACAATGAAATCTGTCTTAAATTAAATAAACATTGAAGAAGTTCTTAATAAATAGTAGTGATGGTTGTTGTGTATGGGATAGGGTTAACCTACCATGTTTGAAATACACCTGATACTACATATCAAATAATATATGTTTTTCCCTTTAGGAAAGACAATTCTTTTCTAGGATATTGTATCTTGCTGCTGTATTTTGACTGTGAAAATGTAATTGTTTATTGTTTATAATGACTGTGAAATTGTATTTGTTTATATAGGTGATTGTTTAGTCAGATTCCATTGTATTGTTTAATAAAGAATAATTGTTTACATGCATGGTTCAACATAGTTAGAGGGGAACAAACCAGTTACTCCATCCATTACTCCCTCCCACCATCCATCATCATTCTTCTTAATGACATAGATTACTGCATTTTCAGAAAATGCTAATTCATCAGCTTTATCAGCTTCATAGTCATATATAGCAACAACTGAAACAGAATAGAAGAATGAGTTATAATAGATAATGACTCATGCTGACATTACACAATGCTTTCCTGATTGTTTGTTTTCTATTTGGAGTGAAGTCTGTATCACTACAGGTCCGGGAATCTACAGCACAGAAGACACTTACGGCTAGCCCCCGAATCCTTTCACTTAATTTGATATGTTCGTTTGTTGGTGATTTTTGCATATTGTGTCTTGTCCATAGATTTGTTTTGTGTAAATTATGTGAGGTGCAGTCCCCCTGCACTTACTATTTAGAATGTGGAACAACAACTTAAATCAAAAACCCCATTTTGAGGATGAAAGATTGAGAAAGTCTACTGTCTTAGCAAGCTAGATTGCAAATTAAAATCCAACAAAAATATGCACCTAAATAATAAATTAAATGGTCTATGATTATCACATCAGCAATTCTATATTCACTATATATATATGAAATTAAACAATTTTTCACATCTTGCGTTTTCAGATCTGTTTCAGACCAAATTTGAAAGCGATTGATGCAAACACCAATTTCTATTAATAGCAGTTTTGAATAAAACCCTGATCCATTTACTTGATCTGATATTTACATTAAATGTTTGAAATGTGTATATTTATGTCAGGTCCGAAGGTTTGTCTTGTGTAATTGTTTATGGTGCAGTCCTCCTTTACTTACTATTAGTACACCAGAAGAAAACAAAAACATAGTTTATAGCAAACAAAAGCTGCTTCATATGAGCATTTGTCAAATTTCAATTCCCATGTGGCATGACAGTAGTGTTCGACCATACATGTATCACAAACAATCAAATAATAATGTTGATATCAGGGTGAAAGTCTTTTTGTACAATACACAATACAGTGTTCCTCTTTTAAACATAATAAAATAATGGCTTCTATAATTACTACAATCAGACGAAATGGCAGAAATAATTTGTAAAAAAAAAACCCACCATAATCATTAAAATCGGTGGCCAGGCTACTTTTTGCATTTACAATTATTGTAGAACGTGACCTTATACAATAGCGACATATATGACATCATTTCCTGTATATAATAATTTTGCTTTGAGCTGTGGGTCAATAAATTATATTACTCATGCTAGCTGAACAAAATAAGAAATCGCCTTTGTAAAGGTTACATTATGATAACAAAGGGGTTAATTTGTCAATAAAGTGAAATTCCAGCAAAGAATTCCTTTAAGCATATATTTCATATAATTATTAGGTTCTTGTGATCATAAGTGTTCTTTGTGAAATTGTGAGTCAAAAATATCAAGCTAGCAAGAATAGGTTGCCAGGCAACAAGATATGTCCAAGATATGACAAGGGTATAGAATGATTAGGTGTTTATAAGCTCATATCTGTTAAATATACAGTTTGTCTAATGTATGATTTCCCCCTAATCACTCTATACCCTTGTCATCACATGGTGCTTTTCAGGTCTTTGATGTTAAATATGTCTGTTAATTGTTTGATCTCTTCTAATCATTAGTAATAAGTATGGTTTCACATTGTACATATATATAGACCCTCAAGTTTACTAAATGTCCTTGTCTACGATATCACCTTAGGTGGAAGTGGACGTAAAACACCAGAAACGAACGAACGAACTAAATGTCATTGTGCTTGATAACGATAAGAGAATACTTATCGAAACGTTGTGATTGTGTATAATAAACCAGTGATTGTTGTCCCATATAACTGTGTCAGTTTTGATAACTTTAGCTGTTTGAGTTAATAGAAATCATTTAAAATCAATAGACTTATCTATCTCATGAACACATAATATAAATTTTAGTTCAGTTGAATAACTTTAACCACTAGCACGTCCACAATATTAAAAAAAAATTATCAAGGGCCAAAACTCTGTAAGTAATCATTGAAAATCAGGTTTCTTCATCTCATGAACATGGGTTTAAAATTCCTTGGAAAGTTCAGCTTATAAAACGATGGACGCTAGTCACAACAACATACAACCGCACTTCAATGTGGGCGGATAAAAAAGCATAAGATTAAGATGAGATGTTTCAAATGCTCCAATGTACATAACAATACGAGCAAGGGTGGATCCCATATTATGCTGCAAGTATTTACAAAGATACATGTATGATGAATGGAACATTTTGAAATATTTTACATCCTTCTGCAGATCAAATAAACAAGCCTGGAAATTGTATAGCGTTGTTATTTCTTTGCTTTCTCAGTTAAAAGTTAAATAATTATAAGTATATTTAAGCATGGATTAAGAAGTGAAAAATTAGTTACTGTCTGTAAAATGCACAATACTGATCAATGAGTTTCATTCAGTCCTACATTCCATGTCATATGCGTATTACCCCGATAAAAGTGTGTCTCTGTCACAGACATCTACAGTTTAGACATGTATGCGCCCCGATGATGTCATTATGTGTCACTCATTGTCTATCTAAATTATCCAATGACAATTACTAAGTCTCCTTTATCGTATTCAATTACTTGCTCTAGAAAGTGAAAATAAAAGCCAGGAAATAATCAAGTTAACATGAGTGTTGCAGTCAAGCCCATGTGTAAATAAGAATATCGTTGATTTGATACATACCGACTATATTAATGTATATCCGACAGCATCTAGTCGAGAAGGTATCAGTGAATCAGAGTATCGCTAATCTTTATTAATTTATTCAGTATTGGCATTCCTGTTTACGAATCTAAGTTGAACTCATTGTAATGAATAATATTATAGGTTTCCATATTCCCTTTTCGATCAGAATTTGCTCTTTCAATTTTCTCCTCTTTAGACCACATTTTAAACATGGAAACACTGCTTTGAAGAGGTTTATGGGAAAACAAATTCCCAAGCAAAATGGTACATGAAAATATGTTTTCAAAGGCGTGTGGTCAGAATAACTTTAACGTTAGACAAAATGCAGGACAGGCAAAAAAGTTATTTAATTATAGCTCCATAAAAATTTCTCCTGTAATAGGAAATGAAATGGGATTTAGCGTCCTACATGTACTTTTCTGCACCTACTGGGCTAACGAAGACGGACCTCGTTTTTTTCTTGTAACCAAATGACAAGAGGGAACCACGCTGGAAAATCTTGATGAACTCTTTTGGCCAACACAGAGATTAAACAAGGGACCTTAGGGTTACCGAGTCAACGCCTTACTCTCTGAGCCACCGCAGCTCGTTGTAATAGTATGCAGATCAGACTAAGGATGTAAAAATCTTACCTTTTTCTAAATATTGTTTTGGTCGCCAGCTAGCATCTGTTAATTGTGGTCCAGTAGCAGCATAAGGATCTTCTTCTTGTTCTGAGCTAATAGAATGGTGTTGTTGTTGTTGTGGTGGTGGTGGTGGATCAGCTATAGTATTATAGTTAAATTGATTACCACCCATCATAGCAGGGGGTGGTGGGGGAGGGGGTGATACTGAAAAAGGAGAAAAAAATATATCTTCACAATCTTATAATCATCATTTGTTAACAGATACAATTAGTGCTCCTCTATTCCTCGTCAATGGTATTACAACATATAATAGAGTCGTGGCCAGGATACCCAAAGAAATTGTTTCTATTTTTTCGGAGGGTCAATGTACATGTATCATATAAATATAAGAATCTTTGACAGTTGGCATTTGATGAAGGATATGGGAAAATGCAAAACTTGCCTCCCTGGCATTGTGACTACAGACAAAAATAGCTGAATACTAATCTCAAAATGACTGATGCCTTGTGTATGCCTATCCTATTCTACATTGGCAATACTTTGATTTTCCAATCTATGATACATGCATTTACTCAGAAACTTAACTGCCATGGATATATCTTTATTCACAAAACTTTTATATTATAAATGCATAATTTCTTTTGTTTAAATACACCACTAACATCAAAAAATAAACTAAAATTTCAGGACCAGAAGAGTAACCTCCCCTTCATTTTTGTGTTTTGATTTATCCATTAAAAGAGAAATATGAACAGTAAACATACCAATTGAATTAGGATCTTGTTGATAAGGAAAGCTTGGTGCAGAATGCATCATCATACCAGGTGAGGGTGGTATTCCATGTGTCATAGGTGTTGCCATGCCAACAGGTGGAGGGGAATGAATGGTTCCCATGACAGGTGAAGGTGCGTAACCAGCCTCGTATCTCATTTGTTGTTGCATGCCTGGTGCACCGTATGGATTAGAACCATAGTGTGATGCGGGTATAGATGGGGGTGCAACAGGAGGAGCTACAGAACGATAGTGATTTCCTCTAACTCGACCTAGTGTATCAGAACCTGTTCTATTGACTGGAGGTGTTGGTGGTTTGGTGGTAGGAGCATTACTGGAACTGGTACTAGTCACAGAAGGACTACGGGCTGCTCTAGGAACATTACTGTGGAGCTGAAATTATAACATACTGAATAATCACAAGGTTTCTAGTTTGAAAACATTGATTAAATTAAACATACATTATGCAAGAGCTAAATCTGTCTATTGCAGGTCTTTCTTTAGGCCTGAAATGTTATCTAAATTATTAATTAGACATTAATTAACCTATCCAGACCATAATCAACTCTAGATGGCTTCGCTAGCCTGCAATCTTTAGTGGATTATGAGCCGATTTACTACATAACTTTCCTTCACAATTTAAGGATTAAATGGATTTACACATGGGCTTGACTGCAACACTCATGTTAACTTGATTATTTCCTGGCTTTTATTTTCACTTTTGCTCAATAATGATCAATCTTGTTAGTTCTCAGATGAATACATGTATGGATTTTTGTCAACCTTATTAAGGGAGAGAGAATCCTATTAATTTTAAACCGTGTTTGTTTTCTGAATTATGCCCCTTTGTTGTGTTATCTATTAGCTCTATTAATGGGTATGTTTGATTACTAGTGCCACACTTACTCGAGCCTTCAGGAGTGTGTTCTGGTTACTTTGGGAAGTGTCCCATAATCCAACTATTCAACATGGCAGCAGATCAACTTTTTGATTGAAGTTATATTTTCAGATTAAGTTTAGGCGACGGAAGAATAATTGTTGACACTTTGCTCCGATTAAAAATACAGTATTTTCATTCCACAGTAGTGTTGTGTTTATTTTAGTGAATCTACAACTTGGTTCTTAGATTCCAGGAGTTAGAAAGGACACTCAGTGCCCTTTCAGTTGCCTAAAGGCACGCTCTATCACAGAACTGAGCTGTTTATTACGGGTCAGTTTTCCAAAATCGTTGTGTGGAGTCATAAGCCATGGAGCTTGTTAACAAATTTATCAAATGTTACTTTGGTTGAACGAAAGTGTGATTTAAAGTCTTCTAAGGATTGTAGAGGGACTGTATGTTCTGCATAATATTCTACATGTATCCTTGGAGCTTTATTTCACTTCTTTGGATTTAATAGTTCCAATAAGATGCCAATGAAAAAGTAATCGAACACGACGAAGAAGAATTAATAATTGTCATTGGAAAATTTAGATAGACAATGAGTGACACATAATGACATCATCGGGGCGCATACATGTCTAAACTGTAGATGTCTGTGACAGAGACACACTTTTATCGGTCTAATACGCATATGACATGGAATGTAGGACTGAATGAAACTCATTGATCCGTATTGTGCATTTTACAGACAGTATCTAATTTTTCACTTCTTAATCCATGCTTAAATATACTTATAATTATTAAACTTTTAACTAAGAAAGCAAAGAAATAACAATGCTAGATAATTTCCAGGCTTGTTTATTTGATCTGCAGAAGGATGTAAAATGTTGCAAAATGTTCCATTCATCATACCTGTATCTTTGTAAATACTTGCAGCATAATATAGGATCCACCCTTGCTCGTATTGTTATGTACATTGGAGCATTTGAAACATCTCATCTTAATCTTATGCTTTTTTATCCGCCCACATTGAAGTGCGGTTGTATGTTGTTGTGACTTGCATCCATCGTTTAATAAGCTGAACTTTCCAAGGAATTTTAGACCCATGTTCATGAGATGAAGAAACCTGATTTTCAATGATTACTTACAGAGTTTTGGCCCTTGATATTTTTTTTTAATATTGTGGACGTGCTAGTGGTTAAAGTTATTCAACTGAATTAAAATTTATACCATGTGTTCATGAGATAGATAAGCCTATTGATTTTAAATGATTTCTATTAACTCAAACAGCTGAAGTTATCCTAATACATGTTTTGTATAATAAATATTATCTTAAATTAACTAGAAGCCAGTAATATTTTAAATTTGTAAAGTGCCCCTGAACATGTTATATGAAAGGGTGCACTATAAATATGCTGTAATAATAATAATAATCGAGACTATGCTGTTTATCATACTGACTTTAATAATGATGATCAAGGCTAGGCGGAATTCCAATCGCTTAGTTCTCGGTTCATAGTAGATCAATTTGAATGAAATTTTCAGCCATTTGCCTTTACATTATCTAGTTTTTAACTATTATAGTGAGAACTGCCAACTCATTATCGAATCTCCCATAATGTATCTTTAACGAATTTGGAATGTTTATACTTGATCTTATAAAATCCTGTAAATGTACCCTACGGCTTCACCATGGTATAATTGCACCCATGTTATTGCTAGATCATCATATCTTGTACAAAATATGATCCTGAACTTACCCTTACACCATGACCAATATCATCTAGTACAGAGTAATCGATGCCTTTCCGTGTATACTTGATAGGTCTCTCCGTTTGTTCTGGAAATATTATGCCACCTTTTACACCAAGAGGCCTGGAAGCACTTTTATTTGTTGTCAAAACACCAATTTCTCTTCTAGCTACTTTCTCTTTGTGAATCATTACAATCTATAAGGACAAAAGCTCCAGGTTACTTTTATCATGAGTTAACTCCCTTTAATTAAAACATCATTCACAATATTATGTGATATTTATGTTAGATGTGTGTGAAAAGATGTTTATAAAAACCATTACTCAAGTTCTTAACAATAATTTCATGTCATTTTTCTTCGAGGGAAGGGGACAAATTATATATTCATTTGACAGAAATCACAAAATGCACCAATGCTACACAACTTTATAATTTCTATTAAATCGAATATTTGAATAAAGAATGATTTAGAATATTTGAATAACAAAATTAGCATTCGATGTGACCACTATAAGATCCCTAATAAGTACATAAATAAATCACAAAATAAATAAAACACTATGTAAATAAACAATTTCACAGACAGTGTCCTGTTTGCCAAATGAATTCTAACATGCTACTGTGAAACAATAAAATTTACCTGTGATAAATGATTGACGCTTGATTCCATTTCAGCCAGTTGATTATTCTGTAGATCTAGTAGTTTCAGAAAGTTGGTAGCTAGATTATTAATCTGATAAGCTACACTAGCAAGAGAATGGGTTGTATAATTCTTAGTTTCATCCAATGCCTTCTTCTTATCTGCATTCTACAAGACAGAATATTGATATAATAAAGAGCACTTACAAATACATGTACCAAAATAAATACTGTTTCATACCGTATTTTGTCATATTTTACTTGTTTTGTGTTTCTTTGAAATAATTCCTAAATTAACACCATATGCATGTTTGTTTGTTTGCCTCTCAGGCATTAATCCCAACAAAGTGTTATATTTTTAAAATTTCAACAGCAAAATGGATTCATATTGTGTGACATGGATAATTAAGAGTGACAGGTTAGTTACTGAAGTGACAAAACAACATGAAAAAGAATCATGATATATGGATTTAGCATCTCATGATTCAATACGCATATATCATGCCAGCACTAGGGGCTGTATCTTCTAACGCCTCTTCTAAAGCTGACAGGCTTACTCTTATTACGAGGTGGCTTCACAAAATCTGCGATATCACCTCGGTGGAAGCGGACGTAAAATACAACTAACACTAACTAACTACAAAATCTTGTCTGTTTTGCTGTAAACATCCCACAAGGTACATGTAACCACTACTTGTTTTTTTCACTTTCATACTCATTGTAATAATTATTCGATTATATACTATAATTGTCCTGCAAAGACGAATGGGCTATGTACAATGCAGTTATATAGTTGTTTAGATAAGAAAGCTCATCTCTTGACCCTGTGTGTCTCAAGATAACAGATGGTACTAAATAGTTCTTTCTGGCAAATGCAGCTGTGAATCCCGTCAAAATTCAATGAGCAAAACTGTCATTGTCAATATTTCCTTCAAAACAACGACTGGTTATTATAACATGTATTTATTACATTTCTGATACACCCAACTACAATTAAGCATATAATTCTACCTGACACGGGTACAAATCACCTCTTTTAAATTGAAGCATTAAAAGCTAGCCTACGTGTATGTCCGATATTTTAAAATGGAAGAGGTTTGATGGCTTAACGTCATGAAAGCGGAGCTAAATATATGTCATGTACAACAGCCAATCTAAATGTATAACTTAGACAATGGGAAAATCATAAGTAGGGTACTGTAATTATGAATGGACTTTGATGGCTGTTTCAAGTCAGTTAAAAACACTGCTTGATTAAAGTAGCTAAGTCTCTAATTCAATATTATACAAAGTCTTTGAGACTGAAAACACAAATCATTGGTCAATTTTAAATCAACATTGATGTTGAGATCTTACCTGGAAAAGATGGGTGTCTGACATCCAGTGGGTCTCTGACATTCATTATTTAAGACAAAATAAACATTTTACCATTATAATTTGTTTCAGCGCCATTTGTAACAAGGGACTTGAAGAATGAGGCTAGACAAATTCTACAAGTCATGACGGTGACGTCATATTCTTATCTGGAGAGCATGCGCAATAAATACTATTGGTGTAGACTTGAATTGAATAACGATAGAGATTGCCATTTGATTAAGACTTCTGGCGTAGGCCCACTTCGCCTAACATAACGGTTTTGAAATTAGGTAAAAACGGAAACAATTGTATGTAAATCAGTTTATATACATTCATATTACATTATTATATGTGTTGCGACCCATTTGTGTCAATTTCTAGGTCCAAATATTAGTGATTTATCTCCTTTAACTTACATGTAACGGACACTATTTGCAGTTAAGCGAAAGTTTAGCTAGTACAATGCACATTGAGGTGAATAGGTTTAATTAGTCCTAACAGTATAAAATTAACTTATTTTAGATGTTACACATATAAAATTAATAATTAATTGCCAGGTGAAACTGTAAGTCATCCAATCCTAGCTAAAAACAAACACATTCAGTATACACTGTAGTATACCGTAGCTAATAATTGTCCTGCAATATTTATAAAAGATCGGTTTTAAATGGACCACACCCCTGTCAAATTAGTATTGCTGGTTACCAACTTCCTCTCTTGACGGTTTGAGTTTTTTGTTATGAACTGAAGATGAAGAGATTGTCGTCAAATAATCAAAACAAATATACACCATATTATCTTCCAAAATGTTAAACTATACCAATTCATACCTGAACATAATTGGTTTCACAATAAACGGCCACCCTTTCTAAGTTACTGTAACTCTCTTGTAGGCTTTGGCGGCCTTCTGGCAGCTCATGTTCAATGAGTTGAAACAGTTCTCCCGTCGCCATCTTTTCCTGATTTGACCCGAGTAATCACATTCGGCCTCGGTTAGAAAATAAGTGACCCGAGTAACTCACATTTAATAGTTTACACGCGACCATGGCCGAGCAAAATGCACACGTTCACCCATCACCCACATAATCGTCGTTTTGGTATCGAAGCAATATAATAATACTATTATTTATCGTTTTTTTTGTCTAATAATATAATTTCATTACAGATCAAGCTGATTTTAAAACTGTTGTCGTTCATTTATCCTTATCCCCAATTGTACCACTCGGAACTACTCGGTTATTTCCGTCATTCGTTTGATATAAAATAGTTGACTGCGAATCAATAATTCGTGAAAGTAAATGGGCAGTTATATTTTCCGTTAGGATTTGTTTCAAATTGCTACGGGTTATTACTAGTTCCTTACACATAAAAAATCCAGATGTTAGTTCATCTGAATCTTATATTTCTTTTGAATTGTTATCTCATGTAAATTATTCAACCCATCAAAGCATATCCCTTTTCGAAAAATAACTAACAAACTGTAATTCAATAAATATGTGGTTATTATTGTTGTGTTTAATGGCACCCTCTTAACTGAATTGTTGTTGTTTTGATGTAGCTGCGAAGATAATTTTGCGACAATTTTGACTTCGAGTGTTGTAAAATAATGTTATGGCAGGTGCGTGTCTGTTGTTAAAACAGGTGAACAAATTAACAGGGACATAATGGAGTTGGTGGGGATTTCCTGTATTAAAATGTGAAATGTAATGAATTGAAATTAGGTTAAACGGGGTCAACTTTTCTGTCTATTAAAATGTCAACAATTACAAGGACATAATATGGTTAGATTGTGTTAATATAGTGATCAGGAACCGCAATGGTTACCGAGAAGTGAAATGAACTGAGGTTTAACGTCCCACTTTCTGCTCCGACTGGGCTAATGAAGACGGGCATATGCCACACAGTGTACTATGAGGAACATTTTGCCCGGACAGCGACGCTACGTCGGCCTACTCTTATATCGAATTCCAACTGCCAAGGGTTCTGTTACATGCACGCCAATGTGTACAAGGGACCTCGTTTTTTCGTAAAATCCAGATGGTTACCAAATTACTAGTAGAAATATCAAGAGGTGTATACTTTCTATTTCATGCACAGTTCTTATTTTAATGTATTTTTTTAGTTTTGTTTTTATGCTGGAATAAAATGCGTTTTGTTTCTGGGAACTCAAACTATATTTTGTGTTTTAGTCAGACAGTTTGCGTTTCGCTGACCATTGGTGTTACATTGTACATTAGAATGGATGGATTGAAAGCGTTTATCTAGAAAAAAGCAATACATTTTGTCGAGAAATGAAAGCTGATGCTGTGCGAAAGTTGCTATGTAGACAGCGTGAATGACAAAGGGGATGTGACAGAGCGCAAATGTTAAATGTAGTGAGAGAAAATACGTCAAAAAAAGCATTTTCCCACAAAACATTTGTTATTTGACGTTTTACATTTAACTCTTGCCTTAGAGGTATTTTGACTTTATCATTATCGGTATTAGGACTCTGTACATTGTAGGACTACTTTTTACATATAATCAGTGGAAACGACATTGTCGCAGAGCATTTAATATTGGCAGCGATGCCCTTCCATAAATAACTGCATCCACTTCTCTGACATTAAATAATTACTAATCCAACAATTCAACGTTCTGAAAATAGTCAACATGTCTGCCTAACCTTACAACGAATAGTTTCACAGATATGTTATCGAATTTAGATATAGATGTGTATGGATAAACGAAACAAAGGGAGGTCTACCAGTGGTTATGGATATGTTATTGGTGGTCTAGACCCACGTCAAACGTCACTGAATGGATTTAACTCCCCTTAATGAACGCCCGCTGTTTCTTAGAGTGTAATATATATATATATGGACTAAGGGGGCGGGGGTCATAAAACTGTTGTAGTGTTGCATAATCAGATTATCTGAACTTAATTGTCCTATGTAAATACAGCTATGTAGGAGACATTTTAAAATTTATAGACACTTTTTTTTCAACATCTTAGATTTGACCACAATTTGGCACTTGAAACTGCGTTAACAGAGAAAAACTATGCGCTTTTCGACGAAAATGTTAAAAATCTAATATTACATGATAATTACTGTTTTAAAGGTTTTTCTTGTTTGATTTATATTGAATTTATCTCATCTTTTTACAGAATTCACTTATGTTCAAAAATAAAAATGTTCTGTGGAAATCAAAATTCATGTGCTTTTAAATTTCTTTCTGAAAATCCACTGTTTGCTGCTGTATTATAGTGTTTGGAGAATACTGCACTATTGGTCTGAAAATGAATGGATTTTCATAATCTTTGGCCAGGGCATTGCATATATATGTTTGTTTATTAGAATACAATTGCATATATATATATATATGCAATGCCCTGGCCATTTTGTTCAAACAGGAAGAACATGTGAAGTATATAGGACTAAGACTAGTAATTATTTCCTTTATTTCATGATGTTTATTATAAGGGCATCCTCGATATTCCCAATGGGCTCATTTTATTTCAATAATAGCAGTGAGAGAAAACCGGAGGACCCGGAGAAAACCAACGCGGTCGTACAGGCGACCCTACGAGAAAACATATAGCAATGATTGTAATGCGGCCGTGTGTCTGTTTCTATTTAACGTCTAAAATGATAACATTTTGGGGAAACCTCCATTTATAAAATAACTAGCTTGACAAACAAGCACCCTTCTCTAAATAGTGACAAATGCGATGGGAATTAAACGTGAATCATATACAGTTTTATTGAAAAAGGACAAATGGGTTTTGTTTAGATTAAAATCTTATTTTACTTTGTATATTGCAAATGTAGGCCTAGTGAAAAAAGATGGAGATTTGTAATTGATCACTATCGCAAAGCAATGTATTGACAATGCCCCTATCCAAGAAGATTTGCTATGATGTTTTGGCCATGGAAAACGCCATAGTGTGTGACGATGGATGTTTTTAGAAGATATTTCCGCCTGCCAGAGAGAGAAAGAGAGAGAGAGAGAGAGAGAGAGACGTCCATTCGACACAAACTAGGTCATCGCTCTTTCGCGTAGGGTTCTCTAGCAGCGAGAAACCCCACGAGGTTGAACAGGTGACCTTACTCCTTGTCACATACGAGCGGGGAACCGAAACCACTACATTTGACAGATTTTATGACATAACGCGCACCCGTTAAACCATTTGCCCCCCCCCCCCCACGAATGAAACCAAAGCAATTTAATGACATCGCTTCCTCGTTTTTCTAATTATATTCATAAGGGAACTTTTACACATTTTCTTATCAGTCCTAGAGGTGTCACCGTAACAATTGTAAGGAGCAGGGATTGAAAAAAGTGAACGACTCATATTGGATTTACCTCCCTTAGTATTGGGCTACTCTGAAAAACCGTTAATCTTCATTTTTCACAAAATAATGAACATTTTCTCTCAGTAACTTAATTTGACTAAGCTCATATATCAGTTCATCACAGTGGCTATGCCAATAGTTTTCAGTAAAAGAGAGGCGGAGCATGTGATCTAGCCAACAGGGGATCTTGGGGACACCCCCATCAAATAATCAAAACTCCAGGCGAAATAAGCGATTACGAACACATTCAACAAATAATTAAAAACACCCCATTAAACCGGATACATACTTATCACACTTGACTTGATTTGAAGTCGGGCTTAACTTCCGCTTCCACCTGGTGTGATATCGCAGACAAGCTAATCATACTCAGCACTGAGTTCTATATAAAATTTGTGAAAGGCTGTTGTAGGCAATGTTGGCTTTGTGGGCTCAGAAAGGCGAAAAGTTGAATTAATTCATGCGTCTTGGATATGGCAGCCTCGCTTGAAAAGTACAGATATTATTTTTTTGAATTTGCCCCCCCCCCCCGCCGCCCTACACCCCCTGGAGCGACCACCACTCTGCACTAGCTCATATTATAATAAACATTTCTAAACACGTAGAAATCCAGTTAAAATTATATACATACATTTATTATAAAAAAAAAATCGCACATTTAAATCTACAGAAGAACAATAGCCACTACACATAAACGTTGCATAAATATAAACAGAAAATAAATGACCTAATGTAATAATTCTAAAATGAAATGAAATAAAATGAAATGCAATGGGGTTTAACGACCTGCATCACTGACAAGGGGAAAACATGTCGGAAAATCCCAATGAACTTTGTCGGTCAACACAGGACATTCAGGTTAGCGAGCCAACGTCTTACTCTGTGAGCCACCGTGACCCTCAATTCTAAAAAAAGAGCAAAGATGATACATTCCACAAATTTACTCTCTAAAATTTTGAATCGTTAGCGAGGGTCGTAAAGTATGGGGTCTTACAGTTTTTCTGGGTTGATGTGTGGATATTCCAAACTATATGTGAGTTAAGGCTTGATTTTATGAGTATCGCAAATATGATTTAAATGAAATTCAATATTTTATTTTTCTAGAACACCTGATACCACCCCGTAGAAGAGTCACATGACTGGTAGACATTTTTATTTTGAACTTTTGTATATCAAACTCAGACTTCAATTCCAACCGTTCTTTTTCTGGTATTTTGAACAGCACTATAATATTAATATTGCTCAGATGTATCTAGAATTTAAATATACCAGGATAAAAGCTTGGTCCTTTTCCAGTGTATTTGCCGTTTGCCTTGTGCTTAATTTGATATCACTTTGGAAGGACAGAAAAGAGCTACTCAGTTCTCACCTCTGGCTTCTTTCTGTTTAAAATGATAATAATAATAATATAATATATTAATAATATGTCAATTTATATAGCGCCAAATCCACAAATCGGTCTAAAAAGGACGGATACATGACATGCCGTTTGCTATGACTACGAGGAGGGATAGTTTGTCTTGACAGTGGCGCTAGGGTCTACTCTTAATTTGATTTCCAACTGGCCGTGGATCTTTAACGTGCTGGAAATGTTACATATGATACACCCAAACTACAAGAGAGAGAGAGAGAAATGGTGTTTAACGTCCACTCGACACAAACT